CGGGCTTGGGATCGGCAGTAACTCTAGAAGAATATAAATGAATGTGCATTAAGAAAGTTAGTTTGATATGATCGACTGATATCAGTTGGAGAATTGAAGATCAAAGTTCTATGATTATTATTCCTTTTGTATGCTCAATAGTTAATAGTTGTCTAACTAAAGAAGGAGAAGAAAGAATTTACAGTATTCATACAATTTTCAACATTTAGTTATATCTGTCATTGATATCATTTTGAAATTTTCAAAAAATGGATTCATTATTTAGTGTTTCAATATCGGACAACTGAACACAATTGAACAAATCTCATGAATAGTTTAGCTGAAGGAGATTTATAGAGATCAATTTAATTTATAGTGTATATTGATGGATTGTAAAAATGATCTTACATAGAGTACCATTGAAAACCAGAAACGACTGGAGAGCTTATTCGTTCTAGTATTGGACTCCCTGGCAGTTTGAACTTATGGTTGTCCAGGAATCAAACAGGATATTATACCACCTCTTATTGGATTGCGTGATTTTGATCAATCCCTGAAAACATTTTGATGGCAACATGATTTTCTTTCACTTTTCATATACATAAATTATTAGTTTTCTAAATGAACTATTTTACATTCGATAAGCTGTCAAGTCAGTTGACCACACAGAATTTATCAAACATTCCCAATTCCATCATTGGAACATTGCGAAGACAATCAAGTATTTAGTACTATCAGTTAGCTAGTTAGCTGACTTAGAACTCATGTGATCAAGTACAACATACAACGAACAAAATACAATACGATTCCGCAACACAAGATAAGCAATAAATCACGAAATGTAGATAGTTTGATTATTTTAGTACAATGTTTAAGTGAGAAATGATTGATGATTATAATTAGTGTTGACTTGTGAATGGGAATGAATGCCATGGCAACAGTTGACGAGTAGAATGGGAACGTACAGTTGGAACGAAATAATCGAAATATCATGAAATGAATGTGATTTGATAAATATAGATTAATAAATATGTATGCTGACTCAGTGTCATAAATCTTTGAAATTATCCTATTGCCGTTTAGTTTCCTTATTTGTAAAAGATGAGAAAGTGTTACAACCGTTTTGTTCCATTAGTTTAGGCGGTTTGTTAAGATATTTAGTTGCTGAAATTGACGTTACGAATTGATTGTTGTCAGACTAATTCAAAACCAGAAGACAGTGGACAGCTTTCTAGTTCTAGTACGGATTCTTGGGCAGTTAGCATACACGGACACATCCAGTCTGTAATACAGGATCTTCAATCATCATATGAAGTACTTAATATCTAGGACACTCAATTACCACCCAACGGCTAACAGTCTCAGTTGCAGTAAATTGCGATATTGTGCGATCATCATACAGTTCCATCGGTGATATTTGTTTCACGTTCAACGTTGTTCAGTTCCACTGGTCACAGATCCTTACTAGAACTGAACTAAATTTATTGTCACCTATTTTATGGCGTATTTTTTAACGATTATATTTAATGTGAACTCATCATCAAAAACAGAACTTTTAAAATTTTATTTTGTTGTGTTGTATGTCCTCCGTTTACGTAGTTTATTGGCTTAAGATACACGAGTCAACTCCCATCGGCCCTTATGCTTTATAATGCTGCAGCAGATTCGCTGATACTATTAAAATCAGTTGTATATTCATTGACTACTTCATTAGATGACAAGGAATTGAATATCATCAGGAAAGAATAAGTTTTGTTTAAAATTACGGACACCTTTTCTAATAAATACTCATTAGCATTAAGTGTATCTGACTCCCTTCTTACTTTCACTAACCATTCTTATTTAATGATTAGCTACTTGACAGGTTAACAAGTTGTTTAAAATAAGTTGGTTCATTATTCAGTCTTCGATAGTCAACGCTTAAATACTTTGAGTAAGAGAGAGAGATAAATTTTTTTAAAAAATATGTTAACGATCTGCAAATCATTTTGGCACGTATCAGTAAGGGGATTCGACTATTTCAATGGGGTGTATTTAAACCAAATTAGTGTGATTTTCTTATGGCATCATAATTTTGATATTATTAAATGAATATTACAGAAAAGATAACTATTAACTTGCAGTTTTACCACAAGCCCTCACACACACATATATATAAAGTACTCTTCAAAATCACCGATACACAAGTTGTCATTATTTGATTACTGGATTTCATTTATGTATTAATTATTGATTTATTCAGAATTATTAGTTCGAATTTACAGATAAAATTATATCTAAGTTAGTTAGAAATTCTATCAAGTAATTAAATCCAGAGAATGAATCGATTCACCTTTCAGTTCCGTTTCATTTTGCTACTGATCTTTTATTTATACATATGGTGTTGATTTTGTTCGCATATGCTTAGTATATGTGTAGTTGTTGAATAGACAAAATGTGCATATATTTTTTATTTAAGTAGAATTAAAAATATCACTAACCTTGATTAGATTAACCCATTTATTTAATTGAATAAGTCGATTTGAATTACAAACATTTAGTTCTTCCATAACTATTCAGATTCTAAATAGAAGTTGCTTTCAGACTATACACAAACCTCCCTGAATAAATGATAATTGTGTATGATATCTAGTGTTAAGCTTTTACAGTTGAATTTCGAGAAATTCTGTGGAGAACTCAATTTATGGAGTTGACCGGGTTAGAAATATGGTCAGAGATTACCGACGAAATGTGATTAGGATTATGTCAGATAAGTGATTAAATAAGCAAAACTGGAATGTTCTGAGTTTGATCCTATATGGGATCGTATGCAATCACTGATTGTTAGGAGCATAATATTAGACCCGAATCGGAAGGTAATTTAGTTCAATACTTCATGGTTATGAATAGTTCTGCATATAATGTTAGTATATGAGATGGAAACCCTCTATCAACGTTTACGTCATAAATAATAAATAATTGTTTATATGGAAATGTAACCGGAAGGTAAGCAGTCGGATCATACTTGCCAAATAAAGACGGGAATTTAAAAAGCCAATTTCTATAGAATAAATCGTTCACATTACTTTCTCTTCAGTGAACTAATTTAACCCCTTCGATAAATTGTATGTATATGTTTTGAGTGGGCACTAGGAAACAGTTGAAATTAGTTGATATAAGCTAAAACACGACTTAAGACCTGGAAGCACTGGGTGGCCGTTTCGCCTTAGTATGGGACCCCCGGCAGCGCGCATCCATGATCTCACACGAGGGACTCGAGTTTAGGACCCTTAGCTTCATGCACGAACGCTTAACCTCCAGACTACTGAGCAGGTATCCAACAGTGTTAATGTCTAATTTTAATCTCTACAATTCCTCATACTGAATTTTCTAGGTAATTACGAACAATCGCCGTGTGTCTGTATTCACAATGCGTCATATGTGTAAATTCGTATGTCTAAACAGGTATATTTCGGTTTACGAATGTCCCTGATATGTTTCAATTACGTGTAATCTACCACCTGTTTTCATTTTTGATTGTTCTAAATCCTACCTTTCATCTTATATTATCGCGTCATTGTTATGTCTGCAATCTACTAGATTTTATATTTTGTTTTTACTTCTGGTGTATATATCTCTTTATTCCTGTCGTCATCATCACATCATTTATCTGGTGTTTGCCATTACTAAATAATGTTTGCTTAATTCTAATTGGATGACATGAATCACAACACTATTTTTTGTCCGTTACAAGGTTAGAGAATTGGAAATGTGATTGGTTGATTATATTGATAATTATGGTTATCACCTCACAATTTTTTTCCCTTTGACCAACACAAGGGTCTTTACAGATAGTAATGTCTTTAAATTTCGTCCACAAATATGATATCTGCAGACAGATTTTTAAAAATAATAATGAAAGCTTTTTTTTACAGGGGGAATGTATGCGATGTAGCAAAATTAATGTTACAAACGAATATGTAACCTGTTTTTATATTCCAAACACAAAATGAATAGTTATTTATCAGTTAATAATTTCCATCGCAAGTGTGCTTTAGTAATAGTTTTTACACCAGTTCAGTTAGCTATCTTAATAAATTATAACAAGACCAGTGAAAAGTTTTTCATGTGTTATTTAAGCGTATCATGTAGTCTGTAGACATTCCAACTGATAAACTAAGTTTTTTATATCTATGGGTAAGTCGTCTGTAGATTATATGGTCCTTCAGTAGATATACCTGAAGTAAACAATCCGAATGATGGTGGTTATTTGTTGGTTGAGGTCCAAAACACTTAGCTTTTGTAATGGGGTCAAAACAGTCGGATACATTACAATTTTCACCTCAGTGATTTGAAATTATGGTGCTCACCATAAAATTTGTTTCTCTATTCTCTCAGTATTTTTAGTATAAACTTTAGAACTGTCAATAAAATATCCACATTTTACACCTACTTAATATTTTATTAAAAGCATGAACCGATTAATGTTAAACTACCATTAAATATCTGGAAGCAGTAGACGGTTATTTTTCCTAGTATGGGATTCCTCAGCAGTTCACATGTCTATGAAGTCATTAATTGTTGAACTTAGCCACGTTAGCAAATGTATACTACCTGAGTGATATCTGCGTGACTATCGTACCCAATGATTCAACTTTGGGTGACATAATACAGAAACTCGTTCTCCATAACACAGTTACATTCACCTATTGTCTTCCGTTTACTCCTAATTTTATTACCTGAGAAATGTTTTTATTTTGAGTATCCGTATTTACTTCTCAATGCTTAGTGTTTTCTACTACTAATGCTTTTAATACGTTTACTACTCTGGGATCTTGCCGTGTTTATTTGGTGTGGCAACTCGGACTGATGCCCATATAAGTCAAGTTCTTTGTTGCATATGACTAGTTTATATATATATATATATATATATATATATATATATATTTATATATATATATATATATATATATATATATATATATATATATCGATTATCCTTCGAATAAATTTTTTTCTCAAATTTTGTTTCTTGATCACAGAAATTTTTTATTCGTAGTTCAAAAGGAGAGAATTTCACTAAATATACATGTACCAAGTCGAATACATGTGAAATCAATAAAGATACACGTACACATTGTCAGCGATGTCGTTATCAAAAGTGTATACGATTAGGCATGGTATTACCGGGTAAGTAAATTTATATTTTTGAATAAATATTTATATTACCATTTCCAAAAAAAATCAATACTTTATTTGTCTATTACACAGTATTCATTGTTATAAATATTTACTCTTTAGATTGGTTGTAGGTGATCAGTTTTCTGAATAAGATTTATAGGTAATCACATAAAACATTCATTCTTTGTCTACACTTGCTTCAGATTTCTGCTTATGTCGACTTATATCCTCGATTCATTTCACAATAATGTAATGTTATATAAGTTATGAGAAATAGTCTCTTTAACAAAACAAAAAAGGAGAAGTCGAACATGTAACTCTATAAACATACATCATAACAAGCGATAAAAGTCATTTTGTTACCTAAAATCTGAGTATAACTGATAATTTTCAGTCATATTCCACAATTATGCACGTCTACTAGTGAAGATTAGAGCTTTTATGTATTGAATGTTTGGTAGAAAGTGATATTTAATTGAATTTAAACCTTTATTTCTCTGTTTTCTCTCTTGTAGCTAATAATACCACACTGCTTTAGTGAAAGATAATTCAATTTTTTAAAAAATAAAGATACCTAATCACAAATCGATTTTACCACATACTATGAATAAAAATGGAATAGAATCTAATGACTAGTAGTATCGTTACCTATAAGTTATCTCAAAGCGGACGATTAAACACTTTTAATGATTATTTTGTGATCATCAGTAGAATCTAGAAAGTGCATTTCGTCCTACATATGATTCATCAGCTGGATAGAACCTTATTATTCTATTAATTTTTACACAGAGACTAGAAATTAATACTTATCAATTCAAACACCAACTCAAACTCAACTAAGCTATTCAATCCAACGTAGCTACTAGCTTCTTTTTTTTTAAAAATCCTATACAACGTTTATTCATAAGAGTTTGTGAAATTCCATTGTTAATATTCAGTATTGAATTTATCATAACGGCTGATATGAAATTGCTCAGTTGATAGGATATTCTTGAAAATGTTAGACGTTAATAAGGATCTAATTTTCTTTTGTATATATGTGAATAAATCAACTAGGGATGTAAATTTAATTAAGTGTATACATATCATGATACTATTTACCGCATAATAATAAAAACTCATTAATCATTTGACTGTTAAACGTGCTTATTTATTAATAAAATAAATCCTACCTATTATGTATAATAACGGTTCTATTAGTTTAAACTTAATACTTCTCTTCTCCCATTCATTCTCTCTCCTTTTTCTACACCATCAAAATTACCCAAAGGTGTAAATGAATAAATAAAATAGAAAGGAAATATTATTTCAACTATACACCTGATGGTCATATTTACTAGGCTATTTAGAAATCATAGAGATTATACACAATCATAGTAATTAGTTGAAAAAAGAAAGTGTACAAATCTCATAGAACGTGATCTAGAAAGATAGTAAAATAACCTACATTTACATACATACATTGAAAAGAACCAAATAATAGTTCGAAGACTAAAGAATTATCATCTATTGTCATGTGTATTTACATATATATATAAACAGATTGTCACATCATACTGATCCTTTTTATAGATTAGTTTCTATAACTTTGTCGGGTAGGTTTTGTTTTCAAAGAAATAAAGAACACTGCATGGGAATTCAGCCTTTCATTTTTGTTATTGTAATTATTATTGTTGATAGATCATGAAATTTTCTCAGATAAATAATTAAGGTTAATATTGAATGTGCATATGTTGTGGTACAAGTTTGATCATGGGTTTATTATCTTATAGATTAAATTACCTGCATTAATAATCATCATGAACCTCTAAATGATTGGTTATTGGGGGGGTGAACAAGCTGGAGTGTGAAATAGTAGCCGCTATGATTAACTAGTTGAGTCCATCAACTAAAGTATGAAACAGTTATTCATTGGTGATGACATTCAGTGAAGATTGTGTTGAATTTTAAATCGACTAATTTTACTGACTGAATCAATTATTAATAGGAATTTGATGTTCTCAGCTTAATTTCACGTAAGATCCTATATGTGTACATTGCCGTTTATTGATCTCGAATGAGGATAGAACACTTGTCCAATACTCTAAACATGGATAGGCTTCAGACTTTTATCATAGGTGTCTTCAATATATCACTCATATTGGATGCACAATGCTGAAGTTAGGTATAGGATACTAGGCAAATATGAAAAAACGGTTGAAGATATTGTAAATCATCTACTGAGGTGATTTGGATATGTGTCACTCATCCCTAACAACCAACTGTCTCAACGGGCAATGTTAACTGTTTTAGGATTAAGTAGACAGAAAGTTTCTTTTTTGGGGGGGGGCAAAATGTAGCAATAGTCTCTGAAGACATTTGCTATTGGATTGAACCAGATGCAGATGCGGGCCATGTTGTTGGGGTCCAAGCGATCAGCAATTGGAGACGTTGGGTGATATGGCTGATACCTGTTAGAATGGCGCAGATTCACTGATTCCTTATCTTCTTATGCATCAAGAATTCGAGCATTCTTTCATAAATACCTTTTATCTTTGTCTTTTCGAACCGTATTCCCGTTGCTTATTCGTTCGCATTATCATCACTCTTGTATGGTTTTGATTACCTCATTTATCTTGTTATTATCATCTCGATGTGCTAATATGATGTGGCAACTAAGGCCGACTCAGATATATTTCGAGCTCGACATTAATTATGACTGAATAATTAATATTTCTTGAATTTCAGTTATTCTATTTAGGCTGATCCCCGTCAAGATTTTCTTAAACATATCTCATCATTCGTGAAAATACAATGAGGTGTAAAGAATTATATAATTAGACAGGTTATTAGCACTTGAAATATAGCTGGTCTGTGTAATCTCAATACCTGACATTTATTCTATTAAGGTGATGAAAAAAGTCATTTTGGGTTGCTTGTATGAACCAATGATTCCTTTGTATATGATGACTGCCTGATTTCGAATTCCAAATACAATATATTCGTTCGTGTTCACCTGGTTCTTCTTCGTCTAATTTGCTTTATTTCTGGGATTCCTAGTTTGTATAATAATTCAAATACTTCTAATTATCACAAATTTATTCAGAAAGTCGTATATAATTTACACATGACATTTTAAGATGGTTTGTCTATACAATATTATTGACTTGATCAACTCATTATCAATCTGAACAGCTTTACTGCATGCTGATTACTTAAAACAGCGATTTTTGGTAAGGAAATATTCGATCCAATTGACCATCAGAATATTCTGGATTTATATCGTGGATAATTTACTCTCTTTCACTATTGGATTTCTTATTACAAATGATACAAGACTTGGAAATCGATCACTGTGAGACAGGTGCATTAATTCATTAACAGTATTACATTGAATTAGAGAGGTTTATGTAGTTTGTTGAATTTCATAGTTTAAATCGCAGACTGATCTTAGTTAAACGATGAAGTTCGACAATCTGTACAAATCCACCTTATAGTAATAATAATCGTTTACTGAGTTATTAATAATTTCGATTAGTAGGTCTTGAGGTTTTAGAATGAAGGTATGACCTATGGAATTCAAAGAAACCAAGTGTTAGTCGATTACTTACTATTGGTATTAAAAAATTCTAAAGCAAAGTCGTGGATTAACTGAAATTGAACATGTAGACAGTTGGACGCCTGCTTTTTGGTCTGAAGGTTAAGGGCTTGGCTCGAGTCCTCAAAGTCTTTAGTTCATTCCAAGTGGGGTCGTGGATGAGTACCTCTTACTTATTCTATACTGTGATAAAACAACTATCTATTTATTCATCGTTTTGATTGCTCGTCTAACTAAGATAAATTTGTGCTGTAAAGTATGGAATAATATTGTTATGATTGCGATTTATTCGTTTCCGTTCATGACAGTATGTTTAATACGTTTATAACTGACTAATGAAGTGAGTTTATTCAAAATTAGTCTAATCAATTTATTTTGTCTTTTTTCCATTAATCGATAGGAGCTGCAGTGTTTCCAGTTACTGATATATCAGAAATACCATGCCGTGTTTGTGGCGCCAAATCATCTGGATTCCATTTTGGTGCAATAACATGTGAGGGTTGTAAGGTAAATGATAAATAAATATCTGAATTGATTAATCGAGTTAATTTTTTAAAAGAAAACTTCATGGTCATTCACACATTTTCAGTGATGGAAATTCTCACTATTAAAAAAATACACATTTGTCAATTATATTTCTACACTTCAGATGAATTAAACACGACAGATTTCTGAGCATTCTGTAACTTCTCTGTTTCCATATACTTTTTGAGGAAAATTTCTGAAAAGTTTTCAATAATTTATTTACACTTTGAAAGTATTATACAATATGATGAATATTAGAATAAGTTTTTGCGGATATTATAGTAATTTAAATAGTTGAGATCATGAATCGATTGAAGCTAGACCACCATGAAAAACCTGGTCTGATATTAATCAACATATTCTCACTAGTGACTGACTTCAAGAGGTATTTCCTGGAGTTCTAGTGAGAAGCAGTGACCAGTGGAGTTCAACCAGGTCTGTTGTGAGATAGTAACTCACTGAAGACAATGTAGATTTGTCGCTCAATTCTGTGGATTATTTGAAGTTAGATATTAACACCATTGGATGCCGGCCGGCTCAGTGGTCTAAAGGTTAATAGTTCGTGCGCGAGACCGATAGGTCCTGGGTTCGAAGCTCGCGAGGCGGGACAGTGGATGTGCACTGCTGAAGAGTCCCACAATAGGACGAAAAGGCAGTCCAGTGCTTCTAGGTTTTCCATGGTGATCCAGCTTCAATTGACTCATGATCTCAACTATTTAAAAAACAATCTGACACATTTAAAGCAGAAATAATTCTCTACTAAGAGAATACTTACATTTATTTAAAGCTCAACATTAAATAGTGATTTCATAACATTATTATTATTTTACTAAATGCATATGTTTCAAATCAGCCCGATAGGTGACAGTAATTTGACTCCACAAGATTTGATTCTTAAGAAAAACCAAACATACATCATAAACAGAATCAATAAATTATTTTACATAAATTTACAGATAAACAAAAGCATGGAAGAACAATCAAAATTCAATTAATAAACAATTAGTTTGTTTAATTATTCCATTTTATTGATTTCATGACACAATGTCTGCTGTAAAATGTTTTTTTAACGAAGCATTAAGTTTTTATTAGAAAGTCCTTTACAAATCTGATGAAGAACATCTGTAGAAAAGAGTTTTTAGGGAAATGAAAATATAGGAATAAGGAATATTGGAAGTGGCGGGAGGGGGACTGGATATTATCTGATTTTATAAGCAAAGTTTCAAGGATCATAGAGAATATACAATTAAAGGTAATCTACTGAATGATTTAGACTGGTAACTGTTGTGTCTACACGGAAATCTATATCCAGGGGTTAGATTTAATGATCTTTACTCGACTTATATCAGGTTTGGTATTACTAGTTACAGCATCAGGGATTATTCACAATTTTTCCAAGCAGTTCTTTATCTCCTGGTTTTTGAATGATCACTTGAATGTATCATATAAATAGGTAGACCAATATGTAGCTAAATCATTCCATTAGGCGATCTTAAGTTTCTGTTTAAATTAGGAACACATTCTACATGACTCATTGCGATGATGAGTAAGCTTATTTTACCAAGTGTCTATAAAGAGACTGGTAACAGGTTAATCTAGAAAAAGAGGGTATCGGTCAATTAGAAATTCCGAAGCAAATGCGCTTAAAATGTTTACTGATTAGGAAAACTGTTATGAAAAAAGAATGAGATAAGTGCTTATTCCGAGACTGGAGAATCTAGAATTCACAGACAACATTTCGAGAGTAAAAGTCTTCACCTTGATGTTCTTAGAGAATCGTTTGTAGGTCAGAAAAAGAGTCAATTTCTACCTTTGACACCAAGACCATAATCACAATGGTGGATAAAGCTTTGGTAACTGTTTAATGTGTACTACTTCACTATCAAATTCATCAATCTACAGCTTTAAAACCATTTACAGACTATTCCAAATTAATTATTTTTGTCTTTTAAAACAAACTTACTTTAAGGGTTTCTTTCGACGAACAATTAATGAACGAGAAAGTCAACGCTACACTTGCAGAAATGGAGGTAATTGTGCTGTTACCGGTGCTACAAGAAATAACTGTAAAAGTTGTCGATACCGTCGATGTTTAGCTGTTGGTATGTCAAAACATGGTGAGTACATACACACTATTCTGATTATCCACAGTAATACAGTTATATTTAGATGTCAATGATAGAGTAGTAGTATTGTGGTGTATGCTACTGATATCGACAGATATAGGTAGTATGTATCACCAATTAAAATTAGAATGCCCGGCGGCAGAAGTTAGAGGAAATCTAAGAGAAGAGAACTATAACAGAGAGTAATTGGTATTGAAACTATGGAACAACAACATCTAAAACAATTGATGGATATTTTGCATAGGAAGTATTTACTTTATGATTCTTAAATTTTACTAAGAGATTCTGTAATTTTGTATTCAAATACATTTGGCTGTCCTCTTTATACGAAAGTAAAATGAGATATGTCAGTTGATACAACAGTGTTCACATAAATGATATTTTTATTCTCATTAAGTTGACTTCAAATGTAAAAGAAAATTCAAAACGATATTAACTATCAAATATACATGTTTATGATATTCATAAAGTAGTATGATTTTAAAGAAAATTCAGCGGTATTTAGAATTTAATAAGCTCATAAATGACAAGTAATTTGATTGCACATAATAGAGATAAGTTATGGGAAATCGTTTTGAACCGAAAATAGTTTTGTCTTCAATGAGTGTATTAAATGGATCATTCCGTTTATACGGTGATTAACGCGATTTATGTAATAGTTTCCATTATTTAAATTATTGTAATGTCTGAGTTTGTTTAATCTCGGTATATGGTTACTTATTTTGGTTGGTATTCAATCTTCACTATGGATTTATGTTAGGTGAAAAACATTGTATGTATATTTTTACGCGTGTTTCTCTAGAAATAGTGTTAATTGACTGGGAACCATTGATACAGTGGGAGAGTCATCGTGATGATCTAGTTATTAATGGATTGAGCTAGAAATCCTTGTGAAATTTCCTTGTATAATTCCCTGTTCATTGTAGTATTTTAGCCTATAATCGACCACCACATTTACTGTTGAACTATATTGAAGTAGTTGGGATATAGAGCTGTCAGTATCACTACCGACTTATTAGGAGTGGAAGACTGGGTCTAAGAAACATGTACTCAGTTCTTGTGAAGAAGAATCGCATTATAACTTCTGTTCATTACAGAAGTGACTTCACAGAAAGATTCTTGTCCAGCATCTAACATAGAGATTAACGATAAACGAACTATCGTATCTTTCTAGTTAGACTCGTCAACTGTAAGGACCCATGACCACACATGATTATATTCAAAACCTTCAAATCTTTAGAAAAGTGTAATTCTCGTAGACTATTGATTCGAAATTCAATGGCTTACACTTATAACTTAAAAGAATCTTAATGATGTGACTCAATCAGCCACTGTTAGCCTATCATGAAAATAGACCTAAATTAAACAATCCTCCATAAACACTTAACATTTAGTTAATTTTGATATAATTATTTATTTTTTAATTCTCATATAAACTTTTTCCAGGCAGTCGTATCGGTCGTCAACCTAATGCCATTAAACATCGTTGTGCCGTTGAAATTGAACAAATCCGATCAGCAGTATCCAATTCAACTGTACATTCTAAACTATATTCGAAATCCAATTGTCCAGTAATTTCAAATTACCATTCATCATATAATTTATTATCCCCAATAAATAATTCATTACATAAACTGAATGATTCATTAAATCAAGACCATTATGAATATAAAATTAATGATAATAATAATAGTAAAGAGAGTATGATTTCAAACCAGAACTGCTTAAATCAATCCACTATAAAAACTACGGGTTTGACACATTTAATTACAGCACCTTATCAGCAGTCGTCAACTATAGAATCAAATATCAATGTAAAACTTACAGAACAAGGTAATGAATTACATGAATTAAGTGATAATGATAATAATCTACGAATACCGTCAAAAGTAGATTTTACATCATTATATCAACATTGTACACCTTCAGTACATGTCCAAACAATTTGTCATCAAGATTCAAATGAAATACAATTTTGTGAAAATAATTGTTTATCTAGTCAGGATGATGAATTCATCGTTAATCCCACATCACAACTATCCTCAACTTCGACTAATTCTGAAGCAATGATTTTAGTTGCAACAGGAACATCGCCTCATCCTCCACCACCACAACCACCACCGGCAATGAATACTACTATCATGGCAACAAAATCAATGCCAGAAAGTGTAGATTGTTTAAATAAACAAAAAGAATTTAATGAATTAATAAATAATAGTTATTCGTCAATTGGTTTAATAAATTTGTCTAGAGCAGCACAATTCTATAGTCAACATGAAAAAGATTTTCAAATACAATACGATGAGAATAATTTCGAATCAAATTCTGATATATGCAAAAATAGAGATAATATTGTTAAAACAAGAAGATATAACCAATTATATCTAAATAGTAATGTTAATAATGATACTACTGCTACTACTACTACTACTACTGATACCATTGAGAGTAGCACTAATAATCAGTATAAAAAATCGAGAAAAGAAGACAAAAATAAGGAATATTTACATTATGAAAATTTACAGTTAAAAAAAGAACCTAACCAATGGAATGATATCGTGTTAAGAACAAAAATAATCGGGAACGAGCCACAATTGTCTATGTCAAATTGGAACATTACACAAGAAGATGATATAAATCGGATAATTTACAACAATTCAATTCAATGGTTAGGAGAATTGATTCAAAAGAAATTCTACCAACATTTGAGGCAAATGTCAATATAATGAATGAGAATTATTGTATTCTTGACAATAATAATAATAATAATAATAATAATAATAGTAATAATGAATTAAATGAAATTCATAATTCGAAACATATGAAAATCGATGAAATCATGAACACATCCTCATCCTCATCACCAATAAGAAATAATCGAACTCCTCGTTATTCTTCCCAATTACCCTCATCCCCATTATCATCGCTATCACTGTGTAGTTCATTGACAAATTCAACATTGTATTCAACATTAAAATCAAATTGTTGTTTAAATTCAATTGAATCATATAATTTAAATTCAACAATCGATAATTCAATTCATCATTCAATCAATAATGATAAACAACAATCTGATGATTCATATGAATTAACTGAACAAGATCATAATAAATCAATATTTCATCATTTAAATCATAATGATTGTAATAAATTTTCTAATTCAACAATCATAACTGAATATAATGATGTACAGAATGAAAATTATTTAACTAATATTTATGAAGAAGAATGTCAAATCTATGTTCATCGCCTACTATTAAACAATTGAATACATCTCCTATTGTTGTTATGAATAATAATACTGACAGTAATAATATTTACAATAATGATAATACAGTAGTTCAAAGTAAACGATGTTTATTTAAAAATCTACATTCATCATTCACTTCCTCAGGTAGTCAATATTATTCACCATCAAAATCTTTTTTAAATCGATATCATACATCGGTTTCAGTTAAACCGAAATTATGTAATCAAACAAGTTATCAAGAAGATAATTGTCAAACTTCAAAGTTATTATTTCAATTTAATGTAGATAAATATCAACAGATGAATAATACTGATAGTATTTTAGAAAATTTCACTATATCTAGACTACATAAAGTCACCAAAGATGATTCAGTAAACAATTATTCCTGTAATAATAATTCAGTTAAACAAGAGGATGTTATAGGGAATGAAAACCAAGCTATGACATCTAATATGTCATCTGAATGGACAGATAATATAAACCTACGAAGGAAGGTAATTTTTTCGAATGATTTAACTAAATATTAAACAATAATTAAAAGTTCCATTTGCTGTTCTTTTTTAATGGCTAGCAATATGGTATTACTTACTTACGCCTCTTACTCATCGTGGAGGAGCTATAAGCTATCCACTAACATTCTACATCAAACTCTGTCCTGGACAATCCTTTCCAGTTGTTTCCAATTGCTATTCATCCTTTGGTCTTCCTCTTTTCGATTTCCCTTCAGGATTCCAAGTTACTGCTTGCTTCGTGATTCAATTTAGTAATTTTCGTAATGTATGTTCTATTCACTTACAGTATCGTTTCTTAATTTCCTCTTGAGCTGGTAGCTAGTTTGTTCTCTCCCATATTAGGCTGTTGCTGATAGTATCCGGTCAACGGACATTGAGTATCTTGCGTAGACAATTGTTTATAAATATTTGTACTTATTTGATGATGGTTGTGATAGCTTTTCGAATTTCGGCTCCGTACAATCGGACTAACTGTCTTGACGTTCGTAATGAAGATTCTGACTTGGATATTGGTTGACAGTTGTTTTGAGTTTCACATGTTCTTCAACTTTAGGAATTCTGTCTTTGCTTTACCAATCCTTACCTTTACTTCTGCATCAGATCCTCCACGTTCATCGATGATGCTGTCCAGGTACGTGAATGTTCCCATATGTTCCAGAGTTTCTTCATGAAGTGTGATTGTGTTGGTGTTCTCCGTGTTGTATTTGACGATCGCGCTTTCTCTCTTCTGTATGTTGAGGCCTACGGATGCAGGAGCTGCTACTACACTGTTTGTCTTGACTTGCATTTGTTTATGAATATGGGATAGAAGAGCTAGGTGGTTTGCAATGTAAAAACCATCCAGTTGCATCCACGCTAACCATTGTATTCCGTGCTTCCCGTCAGATGTCGAGGTCTTCATAATCTAGTCAACCACCAGAAGAAAGGGGAAGGGCGGGAGTAAGCAGTCTTGTCTGACTCCGGTCTTAACTTTGAATGAGTCTGTCAGCTGGCCTTCATGTACGACTTTGTAATGTAGTCCGTCGTATGAATTCCGGATGATATTGATGGTATTCTGAGATACGCCATAGTGTTGAAGAGGGTTTTATGAGACTCTCCTATAAACACTATCAAATGCTCTCTCATAATCAAGGAATTTGATGTATAGTGACGAGTTCCATTTAATTGATTGTTCAACGATGGTCCGTAATGTCGCGATTTGATCTTTGCATAACCGACCCTTACGGACTTGAGCCTGTTGATGTCGAAGCTATGAGTCTACCTAATCTTTCATCCAATTCACCAACGCTCCAATAAAAACGTTTCCCGGTACTGATAGTAGTGTGATGCCTCTGTAGTTCTCACATTAGCTCAGACCTCCTTTCTTTGGTATCTTGATGAGTTATCCTTCTTTCCAGTACGTCGGCACTTGTTCACCCTCCCAAATCTTCCTGAATAGAACGTCGAGCATGTTTGCAGTTACTTTCATTCCTGACTTCAGTGCTTCAGCTGGTATATTGTCGGGTCCTGCTGCTTTCTCACTCCCATGGATTCAATGGAGCTGGTCAATTCAAGAGTTATTCGAAGTATTCCATCCATCTGTTCCTCTGTCCTTGAATTTCGGTGACTGGCTTGCCTTCTTTTCCCTTGACTGGTCTCTCTGGTTTGCTATATACTCCTGCCAGTTTCTTCGTTGTGTCACATAGTTGTTTTATATTTCTTTGTCTTGCAGATTTTTTGCTGTCGTTGCTAGAGCTTCTACGTATTTTTGCTTGTCAAATTTAATGCTCCTCTTCACTTGTTTGTTTTCTTCAATGTATTCAGTTTGTACCCTGAGTTTCTCTGTTCTTGTTCGGTTGTTGTTAATTGCTGTCTTCTTGTTCTTCCTTTCTTGACATTGTCCAGAGTATCGATAGTTATCCATTCCTTATGATTATGCTTGTTGCGACTCAGAACCTCCTGACACGTCGAAGTTAGTGGTTCTTTGATACCTTTTAGGTCCCCCATCAGGATGGTCAGGTCCTTTAGTGGTCAATGTGATGTGGGTGATCTTAAAGAGGCTAACCTTTGAGGTAAGCTTAATTGAGGACAAAATTATCAGTGACATTCTAGTCATTCTGATTTGTCTTGATCGTGATTCCTCACTTGATATTTTGTGGTTGGGTTTATTGTGTTGCGCTAAGTTAATCAAGGTTACTTGACCTAGGATGCTTGTGATTCAATAACTTATTATAATGAAGTGATTAAATGTCGACTGGTATTATTACCTATTAGGGTACTAACAATAATCTCAATAATACAGCAGATTTATGTTCTTGTAGTAGTAAGTTGTTTTTCGTAGATGAATATCATCAGAATATTTCCATCTGACTACATATAACCACCTTAGTCTATGGGATAGCGTGTTCAGGTGGGATAGACCAAAAAATAATAATCAAGTATTTCTTCTGGGTATTTTACCAACCACCCGTCCACTTTTAATAACTTACATGTTATCATTAAACATTAATTACTGTTATCTCGTGATTCGTGCTTATTCCTTGTTTATTATGATTCGTTATTTGCCGCTTAGTTTTCCTGTTCCGAAGTCAGAACAAACAATTTTACTTAACTCACTTATGATGCTGAACTAGTGGAATGATGTTTCGACTACTATTTGAATACATTCAACTTATCAGCCATGTCATTTAGCCTAAAGACAGTAATGGACTTTGACTAAGGAAATCCTTAAAATATTACTCTGTTCGAAAAACAAACTTCAGTCACAAGATCCTTTGATAGACATCAACATTTTTTGGTTGATCATGATTTCAAAGCTCAGTGTTGTGAACAGTTTTAACATTAATTTTCATTGTTTTCATATTTGAATAATGCTCATAGATGATTTTAAGGATTTTGTTCGACTAGTTCACTTAGTCCTTTGATATTCCAGGTTCATCTGTATCAGTGAAAATGGGGGGGGGGAGGTAACATTATAATAGGTTTGTCGGTAATAAAGTTTCTATATCGATAGACTGGATTTCATTAGCGTTCAACAGGTCAGTTTTGCAGTGTATATATGAAATATCTTAGCACTTATGTTAGGATACTTTTATACTAATATAAATATTAGTTAGTCAAAGTTTTTCTGTCAACTACCTACAATCATTTATCTATTAAAACTTATCCAACGTTTAACTAATACTACTGATTACACTTCTTCTAAGATCATATGACAAATAGGTAATACCAGCTAATTTTACTTATAATCTCGTACTGCATATCTTTTTTCTGTTTTTCAGCGGATCCATATGCCTAAAAATTCAAAACTATATACAACTTATAATAAAACAATATTTAATGATTCAACAGAATCATTAATAACACCATCAACGTATCAATTAAATATATCACAAGATAAAACTGATTTTCCAATATATTCAAACAAAAAAGATGATGAATATACATATGAATTAGGTGATAATGATGAAAGGAATCGAATGAAATATAGACAAACTAGTGGTAGTAGTAGTAGTTTATTAGAATCACCAATTATAATTATTGATAATCAATTGTCTACTTATGAAGATGATCAAATTAATAATAGATCAATTAGTCCTAATCAAAAGCAATATGATCAACAACAACAACCTCGATTATTAAATTTATTAGAGAAAATTGATTTAGATAAAGAATTCATGATGGAACAGTTAAAATCAACTAATATTACTACTTATTCAAGTTTAAATAAATGTATAGAAGAAATTCCTAGCATTGATTCTATCAAAGCTCATTATTCTTATAATACTTCAAATAATATGTTCGGAATGGTTTGTAATAATGAATATGAATCAACTTATAGTAATAATAATAATATCAATAATGATACAATAACTAATACATCTGTAAATAATAATTTAACATTTTCAAGAATGTCATCATCACAGTTAATTCCAATAGCAAATGATATATTGAACACATCAAATTACCTGGATTTTTATATGACCAACAAATATACTGATGATAATTCAGATGAACACAATGAATCAAATTTACATTCAAATCGAAGCATATCTGATTTTCATAATTCACCCGTGCATTTGCAATCTTCTAACATTACAAATGAATGCAATGAAACAATACACCTATTAAGGTTAAATAATCAGTCTACTCGAAACGATGAGCTTCTTCGGAATATTAGAAATGCTGCATTTCAGTTACTTCATTGTCAGTGTAAAGTAAGTTCGAAATGTAAAATAATATAATTTTAAAGTGATTGAAAATATCGAAAGAAAGTCCTTGTGTCATTGAAGAAGACTTAAAGGTATTCCAGCGAAGGGATAATTATTTCTATCCTTTTGCTGGAATATTTTTAAGTCCTACTCCAGAATATTTTGTCTAATAAAATATACTACTTGATAAAAAAATAAGTAGTACAAACTCACGAATTATTAGGTGGTTTAAATATGCGTTTATCAACAAAATATTGTGTAAATTAAATGCACAACATAAAAGTGTGAAAGATAGTAGTTAGTACATGAACAGATGTAAACAGACATTAATGTGAAAAAAACACCAGTAGTTCCAAAAAGTGAATCGGTTAGTTAAAAATGATAAAATATGCTGAAATTGAACCAGATTTGTAGTCTTCCGACAAAAGATATTTTAATCGATGAATCAAAACATTTCAAGGAAAAAATCAAACAATAAAAGGTCATAACAAGTAATTGTTTGTTCAAGTTATTTATTCCCGTTAATAACCACTGAATATAATGAGTCAACTTTTCTGTCATATACTAGGAGTGATAAGTACTTAAAATCACATTACAAATTTGGGAAATCCACTGACGACGGACTGGTAATTATTGTTTACCGAGACAGTTTAACTAGGATGTAGATTCTTGTCATGAACTGATATCGAGTTGAGAGAGAAGCACTGAAATCATATATTCAATAACCTTTTTTTTCCATTGGTTTTCTGGATTGGTCAGTCCAATTTTTAAACCATAATACCGTAAAAAATAATATGTATATCTTCTTTTATTCAAGTTACCTGAAAATCTACACTTCTTAGATGAAACTAAACAAAATCCAGAAATTCTATGGCACAATTTAATGAAATATTTTGAAAGTCATATTTATGAAATCATTCGATTTGCCCAATCTATCCCTAGTTTCCAAGAACTTTCAGAGTATGATATGAAAATTTTAATTCAACAAAGTATCTATCCAATTATTTTAATTCAATTATCTCAAGATTTCAGTAATAATAAAACAAAGGAATATTTTTATTTGAATATTCAAAGTCAAACAAGCTTGATAAATCAATTCTCATTGTGTAAAATATTATTTGAACAAATTAATTTAACAAACAAATTATTGAAATCATTAAATTTAAATGAAACAGAAATTGGTTTATTATGCTGCGTTGAATTATTTCACGGAGGTTAGTTGATGATAAGACTGTTGATTAGTTATTATTGTTTCTGAAATTATTACATTAAGATTAACCAAATCTAGTGATTTCACAAGTTGTGTTCATTATGAATTTATCATATTTGGGTTACCAATGAAAATTATGGTATACTGGACGGCTGTTTGTTTCTAGTATGAGACCATTCAACAGTACCTACCCACGTTTCCACCAGGAATGTAACCCAAAATTTTTAGGTCTCATTGAAAGCATTTACCATTTAGGACTACTCTATCAATGTCTAACTATAATCAGTCTGCGATACAGTTAGATAATAATCCGTTTGTGATGACTATTTCATTCTCAATACGTCTTTACTCTATTGGTCACAACTTGCCACTAAAGCTTCAGGAATATCTTAATGTAGGTCACTGAATAGTACGAAATTTGAACAAAACGGTTATTCAGTACTCCTTGATCTTAATGGTACACTAGTTGAGGTAAATCTTCAAGGAGTACAACCTAAAAATTAAAATAATCCTCACAAAACCTCTTCACCTTAATCTAGTGACTATTGAATATTTGCGTTAATTGATTATTTAGTAATAATTACTAACATGTTTATTATGGTCCTGAGTAATGGTCATATTCTATCGATCAAATCGAAATATCAGGGTGTTAGGCTAAGTGACTTGAAACTGAGGTGTACTTTAATGACGTTGAATGGTCAGTCAGTATAAGGTTTTGGGTTTGGGCTTTCCCTTTTATGAGCTAATACTCTTCACCTTGGATTATCTGTAATCTTAGGCAAATTGGTGCACCCCACATGATTCAAACACGGGTCAAAATCAGAGATTTTATCACTGAGGTATTCAGACAGCAACTAACCTTATATTATAGCACGGATACAGAAGGCTCGACTAGCTTTTACCAACTTGCGTCATTTATGGCGTAGGAGAGATATCCGTCTATCAACCAAAGGACGGGTTTACTGCACAGCAGTTCGTTCCGTCCTACTTTATGGCAGTGAAACATGGGCGGTAAGAGTAGAGGATATCCGTAGGTTACTAGCATTTGATCATAGGTGTCTTCGAAATATTGCTCGTATATCCTGGGACCATCGAGTAAGTAATGCAGTTGTTAGGAAACGAGTACTAGGTAAGGATGGCAAATCAATTGATGAAGTAGTGAAACTTCATCAGTTGAGATGGCTTGGACACGTGTTACGTATGCCCAACGACCAACTGCCTCGACGTGCGATGTTCAGTGGTATAGGAGTAGGTTGGAAGAAAGCTAGGGGCGGCCAGACCAAAACATGGTACAAGTCCATGAAGTCACTGACAAGTGGTCTGAGTCATGTCGGTAAGTGTAGACTACCTGGTTGGGGACCGCGAGATGATAGCAACTGATGGTTAGAGACCCTGGATGACATGGCTCAAAATCGTTTGCAATGGCGCAGGTGCATACACTCTTTGTGTTCTCCCAAATTTTGATCTCCTTATTCCTCCTTGTCTCTTTTTTCTCTTTCCAAATTTATTTCACTGTATTATACTCTTTGAATAACATCTCCAAACGCTAATTTTCCCGATTACTGCTTATACTCTTATTACCTCTACCACTACGGGATTTGAATCGACCACTGCATCTCTGTGCTAATGTGGTATGGCAACTCGAACTGATGTACGTACGTACGAAGTTCTACGTTGTTACTGACTGACTGACTGAACCTTATATTATGGGACTATAATATTTGGACAGATTGATCACTTGATAGTAATCGTCGAGCGTCCAAGTGCAATTATCTAACCTACATTAAACATTCTCCCAAAATTTATGTAAGGGATAATTTTGCTTCCCGATTGGTCAAACCGAAATAATCAGGGAAGGTTTCGGGCTTGACCAAACACATTAAATACATCAATCACTAAGTTGTTGCTCCAAAAATGTAGAAATTGTTTAAGTATTTCGTAGAATAGAACGAAATATACATTCAACAATTCATAAATTTCGTAGGTGAGACTAATTTATAGACGACCTTTGAGAGATGCCAGACTGACCTTGAGAGTGTTGACTTAATAACCAGGACTAAATGAGAGTTATAAACCTGTGTGAGGGATTAGAATTACGATTTACGGTTGATGATTCAGGTTAGAAATTAGATTTAGGATCTTCATCACGAACTGACATCAGCTATAATGCCAAAACTCTATTCGAATGAATGCATTTCGCGCCAAAAACCCGAAACCTGTTATCTTATACGTGATTGGTTTGTCCATAAATTATAGTCTTGCCATTTCGTAATAAGAAATATTTTCACTGGTTTTGGTTTGTAATACATTTTTTTTGGTATTTCATCTACACTACTTTAATTTTACAGATGGAAAATGTTTGAATGAACCAATAAAAGTAAATGAAACTTATCAAACAATTCTTCAATTATTAAAAGAATATGAAACAAGTAAGAATATTTGAGTATTTTGTTTGTTTCTTTTGTAGTAATAAAAATACAGTATTATTTATTCATAAAAATTTAGAATCTCAAACTGTTATGACTTGTGACTTGAGTGCCCTGCTAATGTATCACGTAATGATACCGCCAACTAGAGAGCAGTGAATTATCGATCGGACCAATGACGCATAAAACCCGTACGAGCAATCTAGAGTACTTGTCGGTCCTGCTTCCTGCCTAGCCCAGTCAGTTAAGTCCAGAACACCAATCCCAGCCTCTGAAATATGAATTATTCATTTCAAAAATACTGGGTTTATATACCAACCAGACAGACTACATCGTACCATAAAATAGGAAACAACATTTGTACAAGATTTAGCCGAAAGTGGCTGTGAGTGTGGGAGATAGTAATTAATAGACAGGGCATAATTTAAGAATGGTAAATGGTATAATAATAGTTCGTAGGTAAAAATAAAGCTCATAATAAGAGGGACATGAATATGTATAGTTTAGTTATTTAACAATGGTACGATAAAATATATTACGTATAGTATTTGTCCATAAATGGATCCCAAAAGTTACCATTCATTATGCTTATCGGGACATAACACAAACTTTTCATAAAATTAGCATCTCTGAAGTTAAACTTCAACAACACGGTAAAAGCATTTAGTCTCTTTGATAAATTTCGATAGTATAATAAAGTGAAAATTCTCAGAACTATATGATAATGATGTATTAGAGCAATACATTTCGAACAATCTAGTCACACATCCTACACTTCTTAAGAACATTTATATATAAAAATAAAAGATCAACTAGACTAGAAATGGAGGATAAGAGGAGATAAGGATAATAAAGAAATAACAATGGGAAGTGATTGCAATTAAACTGTGAGTAAAGGAAGAGATCAATGAATAAACTATTAAAATAGCCATGGAAATTGAACACTGTTAATGTTTGATCGAATAGTTTCAGAGTATTTGGGCGCCGAATTGATGTGAGACATTAAAGAGGAAGAATGTATTTGTAAAATATCAGCGAAAGAATTTGAAGTAAATCCAACGTTTCATCTAGCAATCTGGTTCAAGCTTGGACCTCTTTATTTTTAATGTTTGTTTGTATAGAGTTAGAAAACACAATGGAAAATGAGTGTGAAGATATTATTACCAAGGTTTGACTTGATAATTTCGAATGAATTGATCATTTGGTAGATTGTTATAAATAAATTAATTAATATATTTGTAATAACCCAGTTAGTAGCAAAATTAAATTTTCTGACGCTTCGTGACTCAGTATAAGTCACTTTTTCAGAGAATAATATGGGACTCCTTAGCAGTGCGCATCCACAGACCCACCTCACGAGATTTGAACCCAGGACCTAACGTCGGAAAATTTAATTTTTCTACTCATTGGGATATTACAAATATATTGATTTATTTCTAACAATGGAAAATGATTTATTTCAATGTTAATTGGGTTTATCCAGTAGGAACATTTAACAAGTGTTTACTCATTTAGACAAGTATGACATGAATGTGACGTTTTTTTTGTTTTTAACAAATTAATGCCTACCATTTCGTTCTTATTATACTGTAATCTTGACAAAAATAATGAATTAGCTGTGTACCTTTGAATTATAGAAAATCAATTAAACTTAACATATAGGAAATAAATTTATACTTTGTTATGGTCGTTTATAAATTTGTATTTTCACCACAGATCAGTTGCTTGTTATATGAGAAGTAACTAATTGTCACATTATCTTGGTTAAATATTTTTTATATAACGAACAGTTTTACTTCTCTAGTTGAATATAAGTTGTATCTTCTAAAATCTATTTATTTGGTGTATGGAAGTCAGCTACGTGAGTGAATTGTTGATTTGATCATCTCAATGTTAACCTAGAAATCTCAATGAAAATCAATCATAACAACAATCGTAACTCGTGAATAGACGTTTAACTCGGATGACTGGACATAGTAAATTACTAACGAAATCACACAATCTATTTCAGTCACACGAATGTTCATATGGTCTTGAGGATTCTCAGAGGTATGTAGGTAGTTATAACTTTCCCCATTCCCTACACTATGGAATGGTACTCCTTGAAAGAAGTGAAAAGAAAACTGGATTAATAATGATCCTAACTACCTGAGAGAGTGACCACATAGCTCAGGGACAGGCTGATCATACATGTGTTTTTTGAGTTTTTCAGACATTACCACCGGGGTGAAAATTTGAGGGGGAAGTTGAGGTGTGCAAGTATTCTCAGCACTCTCGTCCATTGTAAGAAGTCAGCATCACTTCAGATACTGGTTTCCTGAGTGATAGATGTTACTGTAGTCATATCCCTAAGTGGTTGTCAGTACAATTTCACATTTGGACTTCAATTTTATTGCTTACAATCTTACTGCTATGTAATCGATATGTCTCGTATAGGATTTGATTTGTCCTACAGATATTCTATCGCAACTGTAAACGCGATACTGACGATCCAGAGTCTATGTGAAAGCTATAGTCAGAACAAGGGCAAATTGGCTTTAAACTTTATCTGATTCGACCAGTATTGCGTGTGTTATGGAAATGAATAAAGAAAAAAAGTATGAGATGCAGTCACACTAATATGATAAAATAATAATGTCCTCCAATTGGCAGGTTACATGCAACAGAGATGGTCTACAGAGACATCAGGCCAGATTGACGTAATGGGCGTCCAAGCAGCGATTTGATTGGTTAATTATGGACATAACTATGATCTAATATAGTAAGATTATTATTTATTTAAGCACATAAATATTGGTACAAAGGGGCACCAAATACATGTGCGCCATACAAGTCACTTGATTTGTGTGTGGGCCATGATACTGCCCGGGTGTCCAGACCGAAGCAGAGATGGCTTGCTTAAAGGGCCACACCCGGAGCCTCCCACCTAAATGTCTGATCCACAAGGCAGTGGAGCAATGTCAGGAAATGCAGTCCAATGGTAGCCGGTGATCAATAATTGGTTCATACGCCATTTGTTCCCTCAGGATACTGGAGCTCATGTGCACCATTGGTTTGAAATCAGGGTTTCTCAACTCACCTAGGTGGACCTTCTATATCCACCAACCCGGTTAAAGCGCCGAACATTAGCTTTTCGTCTTCTCAATTTCATGAAGAGAAGACAGTGAGTAGGACTTCTCCGGCAGTGAGAATGAGTATGAATTAATTTTGATTGTTTCTCATTACATAGATATTATTCTTCATAAAAGAATTTTCATTTGTTTTGTTTTTCATCTCTGTTTTAGATCAGTTCAATTCAGAGAAACGTTTTTATAAAATAATGTCTATTAAACATAATTTAGATAGAATGAATAAAGAACATCAAGAAATATTAAAAATACTTAAATATAAAAATAATTATTTACCATTTTCTGATTTATATATTCAATTATTTCAGTTAAATGAATTACAACATTTGAATCAGAGATCATTTCCAATAGTTACATCATAATATTAAAACAAAAGGAATTTAACATTGAATATAAATCCATGATAAAACATTGAATAATCAATATTATTGTGTGCAATTAAAATCTCAGGTTTATGAAATAAGTAATATATACTTTACAAATATATATTTATTATTGTTTCTTTTTTCTGTGCTACAAGAGAACAAAAATGTGAAAACCCGGTGTGGTATATAATTTAGATGTAAGAAAAATGGCAGCTTTTATACTTATTCAATAAACAGTCAATTGAATATTTTATTTTGATGAAGTAAAATAGTGTTTCAACTTCATTTTCCCATTTTTTTTCTATAGTGAGTCATGTAAGTATATTTCATGAGGATCCACATACAAATGGATATAGTTAATTATATTACCATACAGATGTGTGTTATTTGAAGTATATCCTGTTATTACTTCATGTGAATCATTTAATCTATACCTACTGGGTTTATACTACTATTATTATCATTATTCAATATATATATAACTTTCTTTTGTTTGGTTTAGCCAATTTTCCCTTCCATCCTGTTGTTTAAAATTAACTCATAATCTGCTACTTTAATCAAGTAATCTTTATCAGGGAATTTTATTGAAACAAATAAATATTTCGATTATCATTTTATATTGTGTTAACTTATTTACTTGGATAGAAATATACAGGGGTTGGATCATAAGTTAAATAATGAACTCTTTATAGGAGTAAATATTTAGAAACTGCAATGATTTATGGAGGGTGATCTTAATTGTCAGTTAACATTAGCAGAACCATCGAGAACCAGGAAGTATTTAATGACTCTTTTAGTTCTGGTTTTGGAACCACTACACAGCAATATATATCAATCTATATAACCCATAACCTTCAGGTTTTCTGAGGAGCGCTATACACGTGTGGTGAAGTCAGAATTCAATAATCCACATTCTGAACTTCAGTCAATTTACGATCCTAACTCAATGTCACTAGTTGGTTATTTGATTGGCATTTTATTTGTTTGGCACTACAGCTTGTTTTTTTACTTTAACTTCAGGAGATCCATTTTGAAGCTGGTCAACAGTCATAGCACGATTATCTATTTGAGCAATTTTATGGAAGCCTTCCAAACTATATACTCAATAATTCATCAAGTGATATATCGATGAAGTTACACAATAAGTCTTTGAGTTATCGATTGTCTGTACACTTATCCAAGGAGCCCAGTGGCAAATAGAATTCGTGACTTTGCAAGTCCCAGAAACACTAGTTTCAGAGTAACCAGCATTTTTACTAAAATTATTGTTAAGCAGTATGATTTCGACGAACTGAGGAGAGCTGATAAAACATCATTAGACACTTTGTGCTAATATACATGTTGGGTGCACGTTTCACGTAGTGAACAGCTAATATATACTTTTCACAAAGCGGATGATTTTACCATGTTTAAGGAAGAAAGTGAACAACAGGTGAGATTATTTCTCTCCAGTTAACAAGATGAGACTGAAAGTTGTCAAATTTAACTATACACAGAGAAGGAATTTCTTCCGGCATATTGTATTTATAATACAGGAAGCCCTAACCACATAATCGGTTGATAGACAAAGTGCCGATAAACACTACAGCCTTCAAAAAGAAGATAGATTACTTAACGTTCTGACTCATACAAAGCAATAAGAACAGGTCTTTTCTTCCAGTTCGTATCGAGAATTTAGCTTTACTAGTAAGTTGGAGGTAGATCATGATTAAATGTCCAATGCTAATTTTGAAGTAAACACAACTCTAAGTGATATGGTACCAGTTTTCCTTTACTATGCTTAATAGTAGATAAGTCATACAATGACAACCAATTTATTCAGTTTGCATATACAATTTGTCGGTAAACAAACATATTCACACGGTTTAAAAGTTCCTAGGTTAATTAAAACGAAGACATATTTGTTTCAATATATATGCATATTTATACATGTAGTTGAAGTGAGCATTCACAAGTCACTTAGCCACAAGAAAAACTTCAGACAACTTCCTATTATTAACAACAATCACACGCTGCCATGTCACATAAATGCGCTTAGCATCATCGGTACAAATGAGCTAACGAGATGACAATGTTCAGTGGCATATAATACAATTACAGCTTAAGTAGCTACGATAACTTCTTCAGAGGTAGTGAGACATTTTTCGTGTTAAATGTCGGGAAAAACAGTATACAACTTGTAAAATTGCCGTTTATTGGGGCTTTGTCAGTACTTCATGTCTCAATTTAATAACAAAATGGGATGAAAAAGGTGACAATAATTCATTACACTTAGCCGTTTACATTTAAGTCCTAGGAAAGCCGCGAGATAATTATTTATTATGATGACAGCACTTAAATAAGAACATCTTCACTGATATCCAACAGTACACATTCCCAATGAAAGTATTTACGAAATATCACCAGTGATTACTGATGATATTTCTTAGCAAGATAATGAAAGCTTCATGACTAAACTAACCACGTTAAAGAACAAAACACCTTCAAAAGCTACCTAGTTTTCTGAGTCATAAAACAGTAGCGTGAATAGATAATCAAAATACAAACTTCTTTACTGAGAACTATGTGCAGCACTTGGCAGATAATGGTAGTCATAACAAACTCCAAGTAGATGGAGCGATATCGAAGAGCCTATGACCCTCTGACTAAAATCCGGTGGTCGAAATCAACAGAGTATCACCAATATAGCATAATAAAAAATGATGTGGTGCTGTCCATGAATAACAACAATTATTACAATTTAAACATATTTATTTAAATCAATTTGAATATGAGCAGTGAATGATAAACAGTACACAACAATTGTGATATGATAATTGAGTTGGAATCACATAGTAAGTATGGATATAGCTATGCAAAAGATAAATGGAATGAAATGAATAAATGAAAGTAATCAACAACAATTGGTAAAATGAAATAACAACACACACACGCACACTCACACACAGTAAAACCACAGATACTTTCTTTTTAAATCCTGAATGCTAGAACAAAATTAACTTAAATTTGTGTGTACACCACATTAAAAAAACACAGTTAACGATTGAAATTAGTAGTACCTAGTAGTAGTGTTATTATTGTCAGTAGAGAAAGAAATGATCAAGCTAATTATTAGTTGTAGTAAATAATTATAAGAGAATAAATAATAATCAATGATTTAAAATTTCATCGAATGCCAATTGAACACAAGGATGTACATCCATTGTCCGTGATTTTAATGATAACTGGAAGAATAAACGAGGAAAAAAGAATGAGTGGAATAATTAATTGAAATAACAAATGAGTATTTTGTAGAATCACTGTGTTCATATACAATTCAATTACAATTATCAATGATAATTGAATGTGATGTCCCATGACATATTAGAAACGTTGTCAATGGACTTAGGCTTACCACTTTCGTAGACTAAGTAAATCACTGCTATATTATTATTATTTGAACGCATAAACATTAATACAAGGGGGCACCAAATAATAACAATGAGGCCAGTAGCAGTTATTAATGATAATAGGTTCCCTCAGGATCCTGGAGCCCATGTGTACCATTAGTTAGGAACCAGGGTTTTCCAATTGCCCTAGATGGATCCTTCATATCACTGTCACTATCGTAGTGACCAGTCAGTTGTACGATATAATTGACTGGATAGATTATTACTTGAAAAGCAACTATAATTTGTCAAAATGATAGGTTAGTGTTTCGTTTCCAAAGAAGTGGATTGTAATCCTGCGAAATTTTTCAAGAGGGAAGCTTAAAGAATAGAATTTCACTAGTACATGAATTTTGTCAAGACTTTTTGTTCGAACACTACCAGTCGAGTCAGAGCTTATGGAGGACTATCATCTGATTTTGAAACCTCAAGTGGTGACCGACAGGGTTGCCCACTATCTAATTTTTGTTCAATTCCATCATAGACCTACCGATGGAAATAACGTTATCGTCGTGTAAATTTCCGGCAATTGATCTCCTACCAGTCTTACCGCTCTTCAACCGACCTGCCTGGCATGGTATGACCTTGGGGAACGATTGTTCCAGCCAGTATAGCTCGATCGGTTCATTACGATATACAAACCCGACCATCACATCAAGGTAGCAGCAACAGTCAGGAGTAGAATTTCACCTACGTAATGAAGGGTGGAATGAAATAATGATTCAATGAAACTGTATGCAAAAGTGTTTTGTTTTTGGAACATGAATATTGCCCACGATCGATCTATCTATATCGTGATAGTAACATTGGGCGAACCTGTAGTGAAATACCTTTGGTGTAGTGGGTTAAAACAGAATGTTTCAATGAATTGACGGATACCGATGTAGTAAAAATGCATTTGGTCTAAAATAAATTCTCAGTAAGATCGTTACGAGGAAATGATTTGCAAACAGACATCATTTGTAACCTGCTTATGAGTAATTTTTCCTCTTTTGGAGTTTGTCGCTAATGATCACACTCTGGCTGAAATTGAAAGCGAATCCGTATATGCATCTAAAAATTTCTTTTTATTGGTATCATGAACCGATCGATCTTTGACCACCATCGAAAACCCGGAAGCACTGAACGGCTGTTTCGTCCTATCTTGGGACTCCTCAGTATTGCACATCCACGATCCCGCTCGGAGGATTCGAAGTCGTCACCAGTGGAGCTAACCCTTGTCAGGTAGACAGGTATCTACCTCAGCACGATGGAAGATAGTCGCGTGATTTCGTGGATTTGTTGAGGTTAGACATTAACACCATTGGATGCCGGCTCACTGGTTGAGCGTTCGTGTGCAAGACCAAATGCCCTGGATTCGAATCCCACGAGCGGGACCGTAGATGCGCACTGCGAGGAGTCCCACAACGGGACGAAACGGATGTCCAGTGCTTCCAGGTTTTCAGCGGTGGTCTAACGCTGATCGACAAATGATCTCAATCAAAAACATAATAATCTCCGCTACCCCATTTTGATAATTTCTTTTAATTAAAATCCGTAGACCGATCAATTGGATTCCTGAATACCAACACAATAGGAAACTACAAATGTATTTATGCCTGTTAGTTGATATATGGGTTCAGTAGCTTGATGAATAAACAACACTAGGGATGTAGGTACATTGCAAAATGGCGCATTCTATATTTCACTGATAGTCACAATTCAAATATGGTTAAAGGATACTTAATGCTTCCTTTTTTCATCACTAATTCATTATTCATTAATAAATTTAACTAAAATATTAACAAAACGTATCGACCTAAATAATACCATACATTAATTATTTAATCAATCTTACAATAAAAGACGGATTGTCTGGTTGAATTTTCAATTCGGCTAATACCCAGATACCGTTTGTAAGCTTCATAGATTGGTAAAGCATATCTTGACCATCCAAATTACGTTTAGCAATAGTGAATACATTGTTTTGACGTAATTTACTGCTACAAGCATCTAGAATAGATATGCAAAATTTATATGTACATAAAAAAAAGCATTTAAAGAAATTTAAATAGTATCTTTTTAATCTAAAAATATCCACATATAAATTTGTTGCAGAGTGAAGATCGGTTAACAGAAACCAAAGAATTAACACTACCTTCTCCTAAACAAACTGATATAGATAGACAACAAAACTGCTGCTAAACAACCAAGGTTATCCATGGTCAGTAAAATAACACTGTTCGAATTCCACTCTGATCTTATTATTCCGATTTATGTAACAGGATAGTTACTAGCCCTCACATGATATGATGGCTTAAGACCGAGTATAAAACTTCGTATTTAGTAAAGGAGTTATATTTGAAAAAAAAACATCACATATTGATCTAGATAAACAAGCATAGAATTTCCCTATATACATGACCTATCGGTATGGAGTTATATCTGAAAGCCATTAAAGATCCAGTAAGTAGTTTACAGTACTTCAAATGACCAATTAATTGACTAACGTAACACCAACATTCGACATATCTTGATATCATTTATTTCGATGACAAAACAGTAAGTAGAACAGGTGTATACGTTATTACCTTTTACGTAATTGTTTACACTAACTATTTTTTAAATGCATGTGTAGGTAATTTTTATGTCATAATACAATCAGACAGCATCATCGAAAGAAAAACATATATGGATTGAATCAATAGTGATAATTTGAACAATGCCCCGTTTAACACAATCATACTTATAAATAAGTATTCATTTAATGGTAGATTTCCAAAAAAAAATATAACACTGGAAATAATTTAAATAATGAATCCAGTATTTTGGATGTTATGTTAATTAAATGACAGATTCATCAAGATAAGAAATCTTATACTTTGTCTATTAGAGTTAAATCTAATCGTATACACTTAAACTGGTTCTTGATTGAGAGTGGTGTTATTTGTATTTACAGTTATATCTTTTGCAATGAAATGAAATGAATTATTCTATTAGGCATTAAGTTTATTATTTATTTATTTGAACACAAAAATATTGATACAAGAGGGCACCAAATATATATGCGCCACACAATTCACGCTTCGATTAGGCATTAAGAGTAACATACAGATGATATCTCAGAAAACAACGCAGTTTTAAGGACTGGGAAAGATTAAAACACCATTTAACTTTTAAAATATTGACTTCACTGCACATGATCAATAAATATGGCGTGACAAGGAGACTACAAGAAAATTGTAATCACTTGCCTATATGAAAGTATTTACTATTTATTATATAGGATGGTTACACTTGTTATTTCTGAACTCTTTGTTGCTTATGTAACTCAGTAACCAAGTACAGGTTTGTGAGGTCTGCCCTACTAAAACGGAAGGGGGTTAGGAAAAGTTTACTCTAAAAACACTACACTTCATTTTACACTATGGATTTTCGCCACTAGTGGTAAGGCTTTAAAGTATAGAGCTAAAACATCAAATATTGTTCACAAAAAAGCTGTGTGTGACCAGCCTCAGGCAGTTGTTCCATAGACACTCCGGCCACACGTCAGGGTCATCAAGAACCCTCTTAACCCAGTTTTCTTTTCAGGTCCGTCTTCTTCAAAAAGAAGTACCACTCCACGGTGTGAAGATCCTGGGAGTGACAACTACCTCCATACTTCTAACACCACTTGAGTTATGAGTGTAATATTTGTATGAGGGTTATTGATAGAATTTCGCAGAATATAGTTAAAAAGCATGAATTCACTTGGGTTGTTTAACATATACTTTTTTCAAGTTTGATCCCGTGTGAGGTATCATGAATGCGCACTGTTGAGAATTCCCATACTAAGATGAAACGGCCGTTCAGTGCTTCCAGCTTAGATCGACTTCAACTGTTTAAATGAATCATTTTAAATGTTTCTTAGTTTTCTTTTGACAGAATGTGGATGGATTTTGTACACACATTTAATATCAACATAAATGTCCGTTTAAATGCTTAATCATTTTCAGAGCAAGAAAGTACTACCGAGCTTTCTAAAGTGATATATACTTGTTAAGCATTTTGTTATACAAATAATTACCAGCAACATGCTAGAAAGTAAAATTAACACTAGGATTAAAAAAAGTACTTTTAGATAAATATTTATTCATTGCATAATGCAATTCTTGTAAAATGGGTAAAAATAATAAACATAATAGTAAATTGTATGATGAAAGCAAGTTAGTAGAAATAATTAACTTACCAGCAGTGAGATTTTTTGGACTCAAAGTAAACTGTTGTTCATTTTGACTAGGTATATCTTTCCAGGTAGCTAGGAAAACTCGTTTATCCATTTCTCCATCTTCGACAAACAAAATATGCATTGGTACCAACGTAGCAAAGTAAAATACGTCAATATTATTCTTGACAGCAATCTATTGAAAATAAAGAGTAGTAAACACGAGCAAGCATGAAATTTGCAATTAGCTAACACTTGTTTAAACAAAACAAAAACACTACTAGTGATCGCTAAAATATGATATATCATGAAAAGTGTAACATAGTAATTGGAGATTATGTAGCCAGTCATAAACAATGTAAGATAAGGTACAGGTATGCATCGAACCAATGAGGGGAGAATTGAAGAAATCAAAACTAATTTGACAACACGAAATTAAATATTTGAGATGTATTAAAAAATTGAACTAAATCGTGGCGTTTACGTGTCGCTACAGCATTGAAAAAGGTTATATATATACTAACAATTGTAATCTTCATACTAAATGTTTTAGAGTATTCTGAACCTTATTCTGTTGTATTCCAGACAAAAACCACATGGCATGAAAAATTTACTAGCTTTTAAATAATTCAAGAAGTAAGACTTAGCATTTTTTTGTCACCAAAAAATATTCTGTTCTAACTTATGTTAGTGCAGTTTCTACTTCAAAACCCAAATTCCTAAGATGATACTTGTCAACGTTTTAGTTTTCACAAATGTTTCTTTACACGTAAATGAACTCTATGCTGTTACATATACACTCTCTTAGCATACAGATTTTGGTGAATTCTGACCAAACATAGGCTAGAAAAAAGAAACGGTAACTGATTAATTAGTATAATCACTGTAGATAACAAGTAATGATTGATTTTTAGTTAAAATTACATCTCACAAAAAGAGATAATTCTCAGTATTATACTCTTTTTTTGATCACAACGTGGTCACAACCTATTTGAAATAGCTATTTATCTAGTTTCTCTGGAGCCGTTCAATTATAATTAAATATAAAACACCATAAAAATAAACCATACTGACGGCTATGAAACAAGCAGAAATAACTAGTCAGAATGGAGATTATTGAACTGAAGCGCGATTTTAAAACGCAATTACGGACAACCTGCCACTGGAAACCATGTTTCTAACTAGATTTCAGATTTTAGTTAATCTGAATGATGACATGGATGGTAATAGTTCTTAATGACCTGAACTATTGAGGAATAGCTGTTATATGAATGGCTGGTTAACTCCTGATTATTAAGCTCAAAGAATAGCTTTAAGGCGTTAGCACACTTTAGTTCCTATCAAATAAACAGACGTCCTGTTTCATTACTCACTCGTTCTGGTTTTGTTCCTCGATAGAAGTTAGTTACAGTCTGAGATTCTCCAATTTCAGAAATACTCTACCAACTGTGACAGTCATAACTGATCTCCAAGTTCCATTAATTGCTTTCTAAATTTCGTTTAAACCTAGTCGAATTTCTGGATTTGGTTAACCTGGGAAATTCTGAACCACTCCTACTTCTTGGAAATTAGCTCGTACCTTCGACTATGCCTGTCTGTCTGCTAATTCGACGAGTTAATGGTGATGTTAATAGTTTGTTTGAAATGTTTGATAAATTTGAAGTAGAAACTAAGAAAACTACTTCAAGCTCCTTGAGTGTGTGCCGAATAGTTTTATAGGGATCCAGTAGATTGCTCCACTTTGTGAAGGAATTAGAAATGGTATCCGGACAGACTGACTTTTCAAATGAGGCAATTTACAAGATCTAGTGTTGAAAATTTTCGCCTACCTCATCTGTTCACACAGAAGCTAGACATATATTTAAACGATTCGGAAGACTCAGTGGTGCTCGTAGTGTTTGAAACTGTGAAGGGTGATGGTCAAAAGGTAAGAGATGATTCAAGAGACTTCACCATATTTCTAGGCAATCCAATTATATATAGGAATACACTAATATCGTTGAATATCGAATCTGAATTAAATTTTATGTCCATATTAGAGCTTGTGGTTAAACAATTACCCACTAGATTAAAACGAAAGTGGGTTAAACTTAGTGAAATTATGAATGAAGAACAGGAAAACAAGCTCTCAGACATAATACAGTTGAGTTAATCATTGAGCAGGTTTGTCAGTAGTACAATCAACTCCGCGGTTAAATAAACTTTCCGTTACTAAAGCAAGATAATACGTTAGAAGTAAGAACCATCTTACCAACGGGAAGAATACATTTTTGTCTTGAGGCCCAGAGAATTATTTAGATGAGTGTCATAAACACATCAATTTTACGGCGCAACAAAGAATGGACTTTGTAAAAAAAGGAGTCTGTGTTTTTGTTACTTGAAAGGTGGACGTATAAGCAGAAGTTGTAGACAACGAAGGAAAAATCCACCTAGTTATACAATCATAAAAATAAGTAGTTTGTCCATTGATCTACAAGACTTATTAATTTATTTGATTGCAAGTATTTCTACCTTATAAAATAATGAGATCGTTTTAATAAATTCATCTTAAAAAATGTGAGGAAAACCACCTGTAGATTCATAAGTGGAACCATCTTCATTACAGGACCAGTAGTTGCTAACGGAAGGGATACATTAACAGATTGATGAGGCATCAAAGGAGTAGGGACATTTAGTGCTTGGGCTGGAACTAAGCCAAAGCTATTTTTATTAAATTGTATAGCGAATCCAGACATGGGAGTTAGTGCATTATTAGTCAATGTCAGCTCCATAAAAACTTGTGCGGTAGCTGTCTTACGAGAAAATGTACCACGAATTTCGAGACCTTTACCACGAGCAGCTTCCAGTAAAACAGTTTCAGGTGGCACAAAGAAGCCAGTATCACCAGAAAGATCAGACATTTTGATTCCTCCGAAAATATCTGCCAACACGTCGGCAGCCGACGAAGATGCTAGAAAATAAAAGACAAAATAAATAAGAACTAGTTAGTATAGCAGTTAAACGGCAAGGTTACTCACAGTAAAAGTAAAACCAAATAAACAACTATTAATAGCGACATAAGAGAATTTATCTAAGACGACATCATGGTTTTAGTACGAACCGGAGGACGAAGTAGATGGCTTTCACATGAAATTGGACTAGCCCATTCTTTTTTGGAGTGATTCGCTAGTTGCTGAGGATTGTTGAACCCTTAAAACAATTTGTTACTTTCTTTTGATAAATTTGGATTAATATTTTCGTACAGTGAAGCCTTCAAAGAATGTTTCCCTTTTTTTGCTTTTGGTTCGTTGCTCTTCTATTATGACATTTTTTGTTTCAATTTGAAAGGTCTTGTTGACACATTTAATCGCAGTTGCTGCCTATGTAAATCAGTCTCCTTTGGTCTCTAACAAATCTTTTGAGTAGGATCTTTTTGTGTCCAGTTTATGGGGAAATGAAGTTAAAACTATTTCACTATATAGTCAAGCGCCCCCAAATGCCTGGTATGGCCGAGAGCGGGGTGGGTTCGCCCTCCCTCTCGAAATACTCTCACACAGCCGCGCGTATACAGCCTCTGCCAGGGAAGTCCTACTCACTGCCTTCTCGTGGTGGGGGTGTTGTTTACGAAAATGAGAGGACGAAAAGCGAATGTCCGGCGTTTTAACCGGATTCCAAATCAATGGTGCAAATGGCCACCAGTATCCTGCGGTAACAAATGGCGTATGAACCAATTTTCGGTCACCGGCTACCATGGGACTGTATCCCCTTACGATGCTCCACTGCCTTGTGGGTTAGATCTTTAGGTCAAAGGCTCCGAGTGTGGCCCCCTAAGGTAACCACCTGCTTCGGTCTGGGTACCCGGGCAGTATCACAGCCCACACGCAATTAATGAACTGAACTGTCTATGATCATGGAAACTAATTCTCTTGCTTCGATGAACATTCAAATGATTCAATTATTATTATTATTACTTACTACATCATTATTCACCCTCTTTTATTCCTACACTGTCTATACTTTTTTTTTCGCCTTATACAGCAGCTCGTCTATGGTGGAAATTCGACTGTATCTAAACGTTCTCGAGTCAATGTCCGGTTGAAAATTGAATGCTACCACCAAATACGAATACTGAAGCAGTTTTTCTGAAACCACGTGCACCATTCAAACTGGCTGCCTTCAGCGTTCTCACATCTATGCAGGTCGGACAACAGATAGGGCTGGCTATGTCTTTGGAAAGTCTTAATATTGATGTTTGTTGTCTATCCGAGACCCGTATTCAAGACTCTGGCGAAGTACTACAAATTCGATCTCCATCTGTCGCTTCAAAAAGCTTGTTTTATGTGCGCTTATCCGGGGACCCTGTGGCATCTTCGTCTGGTCTTGCTGGCGTTGGTGTAGCACTAAGCGCTAGAGCTGAGGCAGCACTAATCGATTGGATCCCCATTAACAGTCGGTTATGTGCTGTTAGATTAGAAAGTCCCATCAAAGTGAGAAGAAATCGGCGTGAGAAACGATGTCTCTTCGTCATCTCCGCCTATGCCCCGACAGATTGCAGCCCGGATGCAATCAAGAATGGGTCTTACCACCAGTTATCTGTTCTTCTCCAGAAAGTGCGTTCGACAGATATTGTAGTACTAGCCGGAGACTTGAATGCTCAGGTCGGGCGTCTAGGCACAGAAGAGAGTCGTTCAGGTGGCCGATGGGAACTTTTTGGTCGCAGGACAGATAACGGGGACCGTCTACTGCAACTGTGCACAGACTACAACCTGTTCCTGGATCGCACTAACTTTCGGCACAGTCATCGCCGATGGGCCACCTGGCGTCCTTCCTCTGCATCTCAAGTCTGGACTCAGATTGATCACATCACGATCAGCTACCGCTGACCTGGTTGTGTACAAGACTGCCGCTCCTTTCGGAGTACCTATCTGGACTCTGACCATGCCTTGGTCTGTGCCAATCTTACCTTACTTTTCAGTGGACAACGAAGTGACCGCCATCAACGGATTGATGTTAGCAAGCTGGTTGCAACTTCTGTTGCAAGTAAGTATCGAACCGAGCTAGTTTCTAGGCTAGCTACCATTCCACCGAAAAGTATAGATGAGCGTTGGTTGCAATTGCATGACGCCATGAAAATGGCGGGTACAGTCAGTTGTGGGTTTGCGAAACGTCCCGCTTTTAAGCACTGGACTTCTTCTGGTTCCCTACAACTCATTGAAGCCCGTCGGTCTACTCCGGGTGACCGTGAGTTTGACCACAAACGAAGGTTTTTACGTAATGAAATTGGGCAAAGCTTGCGTAAGGACCGAGAAGCCTGGTGGTCGAAACGTGCTAATGAGCTGGAAGCAGCAGCTGCATCTGGTAATTACCGGAGGCTCTTCATAAAGATGGTGGTGACTTTTTGACTAAGGAATTGACGACGTTGTTTACAAAGGTTTGGGAACTAGAGAGTGTACCAACGTCATGGAATGAGTCGATAGTTGTCCCTATCTTTAAAAAGGGTTCACGTCGTTCCTGTAACAACTATCGGGGGATAAGTCTACTTCCGATTGCGTCCAAGCTATTGGCTTCCGTCATACTTCGTAGGTTGTTCAAAACCCGAGAAAGATTGACTCGCGAGGAGCAGGCTGGGTTTCGTTCTGGTCGAGGATGTATTGATCATATCTTCACCCTCCGCCAAATGTTAGAACACCGCCATACTTATCAAAGGCCAACAATCGTAGTGTTTCTTGACATCAGGGCTGCCTTCGATTCGTTGGACAGGACTGTTCTCTGGGATTGTCTATTGAAGAAGGGTGTGCCTGAGAAGTTTATTAACATCCTAAAAGCCCTATATAAAAACACCTCAGGCAGAGTGAGGGCATACAACCACCTCTCTCCATTGTTCCATTCGAGCAGTGGGGTTAGGCAGGGTTGCCCAATCTCACCATTCCTCTTCAACTTTGCCATCGATGACATTCTGGAAACAGCTCTGATGAATGTAAGTAATGGTGGTGTGGATCTGTTGCCTGGAGAAAGACTTCTCGACCTTGAGTATGCGGACGATATTGTCTTACTGTGCGATAATGCCCAAGGCATGCAATCCGCACTTAATCAGTTGGCAATCAGTGTCCGTAGGTATGGTATGTGCTTTGCACCTTCGAAGTGCAAAGTACTTCTACAAGACTGGCAGGATTCTAATCCTGTACTCACCCTGGATGGTGAGCAGATAGACGTAGTCGAGAAGTTCGTGTATCTGGGTAGCTGCATAAGTGCTGGTGGGGGTGTGAGTGATGAGATCAATGCACGTATAGTGAAAGCCAGAGCGGCTTATGCCAATCTGGGCCACCTTTGGCGCCTTCGTGATGTTAGTCTGGCTGTAAAAGGTCGGATCTACAACGCGTCGGTGAGAGCAGTTTTGCTCTATGCTTGTGAAACCTGGCCTCTCCGAGTTGAGGACGTTAGACGACTCTCTGTGTTCGATCATCGCTGTCTCCGAAGGATTGCTGACATTCAGTGGCAACACCATGTCAGTAATGCAGAGGTTCGGCATCGTGTGTTCGGGCACAGAGATGATAATCAATTGGTGTCACCATCTTGAAACACCGACTTCGGTGGCTTGGACATGTTCTCCGAATGTCGTCCCAGAGAATTCCACGTCGTGCATTATTTGCCGACTCTGGGACTGGTTGGAAAAAGCGGAGAGGTGGTCAGTGCATGACATGGTGTCGTGGCATGAAAGAAAGCTGCAAAGGACTGGCTTGTGTTGGTCCTTCACGACTCCCTGGTTGGGGTCCGAGAGATGGTGCTACACAGTGGCTAGAGACGTTATCAGATATGGCTCAGAATAGAAGCCAGTGGCGATCCTGCTGTAACCTTCTTTTACTTTCTTCATAAAACGTGGTTGTATCTTCCTTAACTGAAAGATTTCTTCTGATTGTACCCTTCTGTTCCCATACTATTACTATTATTATTACACTACCTTACACCAATTTCTTCGTTATTGTTTTTTTATTTTTACATATTTTTTTACGTTCCCCACTTTTTTTTCTTTTTCTTCTTAAATTCTCATTGTTTTGTGTGGCGCATATATATTTGGCGCACTCCTGTACCAATATATGTGTTCAAATAAATAAATAAATATAGTCAAGCACCATATCAGTTTATGTTGAAAGTCATCCTCTAATAACATAAATCATCGCATCCCATCCCATTAAAGTGATATTAACAAAGATTGTCCAGTTTTATGGTTAATAAATAAGCTGAAGTTAGACATTAATACCGTTGGATGCCGGCTTAGTGGTTAGGTGCCCGTGTGCAAGACCAGGAGGTCCTGGGTTCGAATCCCGCGAGGCGGGATCGTGGATGTGCACTGCTGAGGAGTCCCACAATAGGACGAAACAGCCGTCCAGTGCTTCCAGGTTTTCCATGGTGGTCTAGCTTCAATTGACTCACGATCTCAACAATTGGAATTACTAAAATCTCCACAAAACCCCCTTCTGATATTAAGTCTTAAATGATTGGAGAATGAGTGACCTACAAACTTAGTTCCTCCAATAGCCTATAACACTATCATGTTTATTTTATGTTGGTATTTTCTATATAAGCATGTGGTTTCATTAAATAAGTAAACTTATTCTCCTGGTTAGTGGTCTTGTCTTTATTATCAAATTATTAAGTCATTAATTCGTTCTTGTGATCAGACATCACTCGGTTATATAGTGTCGTTGCGTACCATCTGTAGATCGACATCATTTTCTTTCATGTTAAGAATCTAAAAATCCGTTCATGAGCTCACGATCCATAACACTGACAATAACAGGAAACCTAGAAAAGATAACTAAATAAAGTTGTCAATGGTGGGTACACTTGTTGTCTTATGATAATATTACGAGACAAACTAAAAATACATTTGGAAATATCCTGATAAAGTTTAATTGAAGTTACATTAGCACATTCTAGTAAAGTTGCATACTGAAAATATTTTGTTGTCCAACAAACAATATACAATGGAATGACTTTATATTTAAATTGATCATTAGAAAAAATAAATAAATATATATTACCTCCTCCAGACTGAGTCTTCTGTTCTTCACTTGGATGAGTTTTAGTAACACCAGGTAAGAGATCGTCTAAGCCATCACCCAAAAGATCAGGGGTCGCTGAACTATATCCAGTATTTGGTACAGGAGGGCGAGAGAACTGGTGCATCGTCGAATCATATGTAGATGGCCCACTTCCAAGATCAATATCCAATAGGTCCCCAATTAATGTCTCCTGGTTTGAAGATAGAACATAGAATGATATTAGAATCCTCTAGGCGGCAATTACTGTAAATTGTTTAACATACGTATATTCAGACTTTCTTACTTATTGATTGAAACTTGTGAATGAGTGCAATAAATAAACAAGTGGAGAGCTTTTATATGCTAAGTTATAAGATAAAAGCAATAAGTGTGCTCTCCGGGCAACATAACCAATTCATTGTGGAAACCTTAGTAAAATCCAGCACATTTCTGAAGACTCATCCCATGAAACTACATGCAATTAGAAATTAGGACTTAAGAGAATGGTTCATATGACGATGATGAAAAGTGGGACTTGATATTTTCTTCCTAGAAGCAATGACTGTGAGGAAGTCATAATCTCAAGTTGAACTGAGGTATTAAGGCATTGAAATGGGAAGCCTCAACAGATTGATCTCAATTACTGGAAGCTACAATTTCTTAGCGAGAATATAAATTTTCTATGATAAAAAAAACCCAGCATGACCATGATACCCTTCAGAATTTTATAATTTATAGACACTTAATATCCAACTTGAAATTCAGGAACATTGAACTCTGTAAAATCACGTAATGCAAACTAAGAAAACTGATTTTATTTCTGACACCAAGAAATAGTAAATATATACAGTTAAAACTGCCTGATACATACAAGTCACCTTTAACTTATTATGTAAAGTGTAGAGATATACAACTTCTGAGCATTCTGGGAAAAAAAACAAACCTGAGTTGGGATAACCGTAGGAGCTGGAATATCTACTTGTTGTGAATCACTATAATTTGCTCCAGGCGCTGAGGAGACCCCATTTACACGTGCTGGAAGTTGACGCCGAGCTACATGCCTACCTTCGACAAAAGAACTTGGCGGTCGGTGATAAACACTAGCTAGGCTTGCTAAGTGACAAATGAGTTCATCCAGTAACGTTGGCTCAAGCATATCTGTCTCCTCTGAAATAAGTGGTTTTTCTGCGAGTACAACTTCTTTAGCAGCTGCCGGGTCTGTAGACAGTAAACGCCAATAGATATAACCCCTATCACGAAGGTCTGGGTTGTCAGACTCTTGTGTAGCTAAACCAAGGACAGTTTGGACAAGTTCCTGAAAAAAAGGACATTAAAACTAGTTAAAACACTTAGAAAACCGAAAATCTATAGTTGTGTAACGTAAAATATGTTCGGCAAATATTAGTCAAGTTGCTTTAGTAAACAGACTTTAGGTAGCTTGAATTTCAAGTAACATTGGTCGAAGAACTGTAGTTACATGACGTTAACTATAGATTTATATGAACGGAAAAGATCATCATGAATAATTTGGTACTATGTGAACAAAACAACTGCAGCAAATGATCTAGGGTTCCATCGTAATGATAGGAATTTCAAATTAGTGTCAAAATGAAGGTGTTGGTTGGATCGTAACAATAATTAATATTCCTGGGTTTACTAGTAAAACCGAATAAACTATACTCAAAGTTTAGGAAATGTACTTAGCATGTATACTTAAGAGAAAAGCCGGGGAGGATTCCATAAATCGGATGTTTATTCTAAATACTTTATGGGGTTCTGATTGTATATTTCAATTATAAAAATGATTTTAATACGATGAACTGATACTTCTGAGGAAAATGTAAGGCACGTATTTAGGCTGCGTACATCTAAAAAGTTACATACTCATTGGGATCTTAATAATTACAAAACCCCAAATGTTACTAAATTATAACGAAATTTTTTAAACAAGCATAAGAATCACGTAAAAACAAAAAAAAACATTTACCATGTACTACCTGTGTATCAGACGGTCTTTTAAGAAATAGCTTTACTATTGCAGTTAACAGCTGTAACTGCACCTGGGTGTTTTCATCCTGAAAACCGTCTAGAAAAGATTCAAGTAGTTCATCAGCGTTATCAATTCTTTCAGCATATTCTCCAATGATCCAAATCATTGACCCACGTGCTTCAGGCTCATCTAATGTATCAAGATTCTCGCACAGGATGGAGATGATGCTCTCGTATTTATTCGGATACTTCCTAAATATGTCCTTCAAAATAAAAATTATTAAGTGTAGAACTATAGTATGAAACACCACATATTTTAATTAAAATTTTATGTGGAACTATATTTACTAAAATATACTTAAGCTTAAAATATTTCGAAAATCTTAAACTTACAAGTTAGGGCAAGAAATGAAAATCAAATTGACAAACAAACATTTTGAATTCGGATTTAGAACTCCATAGAAACAGAAGTTGTAAATGGAATATTACTGATTCCAAAGAATACGGAACGCAACATGTGTTTGTTGACTCCAAATGCTGATAGTCATATTACTTGATAACTTGTTCAACCCGAAGACAAAGAAACATGTAAGATTTGGAAAAAAGGTGAAAATACCATATTTTGCACAAAAAAGGTTGAATGTCAAGTCATTTATGTGATAACACTGGAGGTAAAAAATAGGAATAAAACACATCAATTGTAAACGATGAAATAAGAATGTTTCTTAGATGAGCTTTCTTCTAGAAATCAGTCAATCATCAGCAAAGAAACTGATGCATACGTGCACCGGTTCAAGTTACTACAATTAAATTAGGACAGCGAGACGAAGTTATCAAGTGTAGTAAAAGTGGTAACAGGATCAGTAGTAGAAAAGATTAGAGAGGGATGAATGAATTTGTGGAATAGAAAATGTAGGTACTTTAAAATAAAAAGTGGATGCATTTGGACTTACCTACACAGCTTTGCTCAACAACAGCTAATGACTTTATGGGCTGATGCCATGTCTTGGTTTAGCTTTTACTGGCTTTCTTCCAACTTCTACACCACGCGTCAAAGTGGGCCAGTGGTTGGTCGTAATCACTTTGACAAGTGAAGATTAGGCTTACAATGTAAGTGAAGTGGTCGACTTAATTACTTTACACTCTATTAACTTAGACATTAACGCAGACGAAACAAAACAATCTTCAATTTGCCAAAGGGAGTTGTGTAAATTAGAATCAAGTATATGACAATCTCTTACATACTTGCATTACAACCACTGGATGATTTATTTCGTATTTCTAACAAGGTATTTTCAATGTGGTACACAAAAGAATCAGACAAACATGTATTTATTTACTGGGGTTGAACTATATTGATTGAGTGGAAATTTTTTATGACATTTACAGTCAAAAACAAATAAGGTGTGAGAAATAGATACACACTAGTTTTGTCTACGCAAAGATATTGCTCCGGATATGGCCCTTTAAGAAAACCGTCTGCTTCGGTTTGGACACCCGGGCAGTATCATGGCCCACACACAAATCAAGTGACTTGTATGGCGCATATGTATTTGGTGCCCCTTCGTACCAATATCTATGTGTTAAAATAAAATATAAAATTATAAGATTATTTTCGGGAAGGTTGCTTCTTTTCTAAAAGTCTGGACCAAATACAGTTCAGTCAACTACAACGTAGAACCGGGTACATATATGCATCGGTCCAAGTTGCCACCCATCATTAGCATAACATGATGAACACCAAATTCATCGAGGTAGTTGCTTCAATTGACCAAATACAGTTAAAAATGATTGGACACTAAAGTAGCATTTGAATTTAATAAACTATGCAAAGCCAGATTTTCTAAGCCTAACTAATGATTTACGTGCACTTGAAAATTTCAGAGAGAAATATGTTAAGCAAGAGAGACTACAATCAAAAGACAAGCAGAAATCTTCATGTGCATGTGAGACAACATATTGAATTTTTTGGGTTTCATTTCAAGGAAATAGGACAATCTTAAATTCAATGTGAATAAGAGCGCTCATAAGAACCATTGGAGCGGGATTCCTTTTTTGATATAATCCGGCAAAGACACTCAATACGATCGTATATCGTACACAGCAAAGTACTTCGGGGATATATAAAATGTAAAGATAACAGATTCAGCTACGATAATTACATAAAACAAAATCATCACATGGTTCCAAGAAATCATAGGTTAAATTTACCTTGATCACTACAACTGCTTCCTGAACGACATAATTAACTTTTGTTTGGATAAGATCAATTAATGCAGACACACAACGCTCCGCGGCAGATTCAATCTTGATAGCACATCTCCCTATTGCACGAACAGCTTTTCGGACAAAATCCACGTCAACTTCTTTTGCGTATTCCTTCAGTTCAGCAAGCACCTGACCAATGTTAGACTGATTGATGAGACGTATCATTATATCTAGCTTCTCAAGTTTCACATAGATCGGGTCATTATACTTGACAAAAAATACCTGAAATATAAACTTCTTTTAAGCCTTAATAGAGAATGAAGAGATATCACCAAATGATGTCATACCACAAATAACAGCTACATCAAAGCCTACAAAATGAAATCAATAACTACGTAAGTTCATCAACGAACATAGCCATTTCTATAATGAAGGTTAACAAAACTTGATTGTCGAAAACTTGGTAGAGGAAGTGTGGTTTGAACACACGATATAATTATTGAAAGTAAAGTCTAGCAACAAACCTAAAGTCCAGAGGCGAAGTCGTACTGCTGACTGTACAGAGGTGTGACAGCAGTACGGTGTTTCCTTCAGACAACCAGCATGACAGCGATGCTGCCTTCCCACAAGGAGAGGTGGGGTTAGAAAAGGTCGACCCTAAAAATACACACCTTGCCTTATCCCACGGATATCCGTCTCCGGCGGTAAGGTCTCAACAAGTACGGAGCTAACACAAAAATTACCCATAAAAAGGTCATGTGTGACCGACCTCAAGCAGTTGTTCCTTGGGCACTGCGGTCACGCTCTCAGGTCACTAAGATCACCTCTAATCCAATTTCCTTTTCAGGTACCTCCAGAAGAACCCTCCCACGGTGTGGGCAACCGGGAAGTGATAACCGCCGTCATACCTCTAACAGCACTCAAGACTGACTAGACTAAGGATTATATCCATGATAACAATATTACTTTTTTTAAAACAACCGACAAGTTTACTTCTTGGAAAAGACAGTTACTTATATATAGAAATAACCTTATCTATGAAAGTGAATAAACCACTTTTATTTTATACACATCTAAATTCTGGTACAACTGAACACCAAAAAGTATGAGCCACACAGATAAAGAAATATCATTAAGAAAGCTCAACCGAAAAAAATGAACAAGGACAGTATATGATAGGAGATACCGTTCAGAAAAAAAAACAACTAAAAAAGCATCAGTTAGGTAAGTTACTTACACTTTTATGAAAATGTAGAAGAAAACTATAGCACGATTACCGCTCGTTTCGATTCTGGGCCACGTCTGACAAGATCTCAAGCCATTGAGTTGCACCATCCCTAGGGTCCGGATAGAGGATGTGGGGTCATAGCTGGACGCCATGCCATAAACTAATGACCTCTTAGCTCTTTTTATTCTGTCCCAGTGTCAGTAAATAACGTACGATGTGGAGACCGCTGGGATGACGTTAGCAAAACATGCCATCCACTGAGGCTGATGTATCAAGATGATGACACTAACTGAATTATCATCAATGTGCTCCAACATGTGTTACCGAATCTTATCACTACAACACAGAGTTGCCTAATGTTATATCCCAGTGAAGATTACATTACGAGTAACTTCTGAGATCTATTAATGGACTAGTATTATCCATATATTCTTATGGTATAACTATTTAGTAGTCAGATTATGTATATCTATATTCCCCTTATTATAAGCTTCGTTTTGACCTATAGATTGTTACTGTACGATTTGCTGTTCTTATGTTATACTCAGTTTATTAATTACTATCTCGCACGTCCACAACCACCTTCGGCTATATGTTGTACGAGTGTTATTTTCTATTTTATGGTGCGTTGCGGTCTGTTTGGTTGATACATAAACCCAGTATGTCTGAAATAAATGATTCGCATAGTGGAGGCTGTTGTTGGCATTCTGGACTCAGCTGGACGGGCTAGGCGAGCAATGGACCAATAGGACGCTAGGCTGATCAGACCGAACGGACGTCATTGGTTTAGTACAGCACAAGGGCGAACAAGTCGCATTTTGATTGGCGAATAAATTATGTGATAACTAGCGGGCCATGAAGACACAACACCTAACATCCCCAACTCGGAGAGCCCAGGTGTCATAACTGCTCTTACCAAAGTGTTGTAGGTCCGCCCTTTTACAACTAGACGAACATCGCGACGACGCCTAGATAAGTTCCAATAATCACCTGGTAAGGCAGAAGGTGGGAAGAACATATATTCGTGTTTGAAATGCTTCCATACGGTTATGTGTTTATAGAATCTAACAGGAAAGTTCTAGTCATTACCTCTAGGCAGCGAGGGGTACTATTTACGGAAATGAAAGGATGGAAGACGGACGTTGGTAAATACGGAGAGTGTGGACACGCTGATTTTGAACCAGTACTGCACATAGGCTCCAGGACACTCCGGGAACGAATGGCTGGTATGATGGGATTAAAAAACAAAATTACGTTCTTTTATTCATTGTGATTTTTGTTCAACATTACTTCCGTTTTAGTTCAATGTGATGATTACTCAGTGTAATATTTGCTTTGTTTTCCAATGTGATATTTTATTCGGTACAATATTGATTCAATTGAATGTAATGTTTATTGAAGATACATTTTTGTATTGAATTAACATGAAGAATGCTCAGCATGACACGCAGTATGTGATTTGCTATAACTTTGGGTATTCTTTACATATAAGATTTCATCCTAATTAGTAATTAAAATGGGTGCACTTTTGACTAGGGTCGTAGTGTTTTGGGTTTAATAAATCTTTATTTGTACCAGTCTTGTTGTTGTTACTTCGTGTCATGGAAATTGTAGTGGTTGATCGTTTTACAAGTATAAGTAATGAGCGATTCCGACGTAATCATAGCAATTGATGACCCATCATAACAATGGTCTATGAAGCTATTTTGGCTACCGACTACTATAGAATGGCATCTCGGTGGGTACCTCCTTGGGTAAATCACCTGCTTTTGGTTCGGGTGCGTATTTTTATTTATTTGAACACAAATATTGGTACGAAGGGGCACCAATACATATGCGCCATACAAGTCACTTGATTTGTGTGTGGGCCATGATACTGCCCGGGTGCCCAAACCGAAGCAGACGGTTTTCTTAAAGGGCCACACCCGGAGCCTTCGACCTAAATGTCTAATCCACAAGGCAGTGGAGCAACGTCAGGAAATGCAGTCTAATGGTGTCCGGTGACCAATAATTGGTTCATACTCCATTTGTTTCCTTAGGATCCTGGAGTCCATGTTCACCAATGGTTTGGAATGAGGGTTTTCCAACTCCCCTAGGTGGACCCTTCGTGGCCACCAACGTCCTCTGAATTTCGTAAACAACACCCCTGTCACGAGAAGACAGTGAGTAGGACTTCCCCGGCAGTGGTTGTATACGCGTGGCCATGTGAGAGCGTTTGGAGGGGAGAACTAACCCTCCACTCTTGGCCGTACCAGGGCATTTGGGGGCGGTGCCGGAGAAGTAACCCAGACCATACATAAATATTATGGTCGAAAATTATGAATAAACTGATATACGTGCTCTTTTTTCATACTAACTCAAGCGATAACTGTTCTTTATTAAATAAAAGTCTGTCATAATTTGCTCCACTTCCTATTCCGCTTTGTTTCCATCCTATGTTTACCTTTATTTTCCAACTGCCCCAGTAGCTCATCTGTCTTGAGAGTTCAGTTATGCCTGGACTCAGATTGTGGTTTAGTTTGCGTCAAGCTTACCTTGCGTAGGGTAGGACAGTCTGATCAGTGTTGATAGGCAGAAACAAAGCCAGCTAAACTGTTCTTTGGTGAACGACACTAGTTGGAGCTCCATCAGCCTCACAGATCGTTCCACTCACACCAGACCCCTTGCTACCAGTGGTTCGGATATGCTGAAATAGCTTCCAACAGTCGCCAGGTGCAGCTGCTACTTCCAACTCATTAGAACACCCTGGCCATCAGGCTTTTAGGTCTTTGAGCAACGTTTGTAAAATTTACTATACACTCTCGCAGACTGACACCAACTTTGAGCCCAGCTCAGTTCGATATATGGTGGCGACGGAAGTTACAACCGATTTGCATATATTATTCCGTTTAGGACAAGAAACTTATTGGCCACCAAATCTCAGGATAAGATTGGTACAGACTAAACCATAGTCCGAGTTCAGATAGGTACTTAAAAGAGGGTTTTGTACACATTGATCTACAAGGTATGAACTGTTTCTAGCACCAAACATACCAATAAAATGGCTTTAACTATTACAACAGCTGCTTACTTTTATCTCCTGCTTTAAAATATCTCTACGCTTTTGAACAATTAAGTTAATATTGCGCAGAGCTACATACTGAATTTCCGGTTCCGCAGAAAGTAATGTTACTAGTGGGGGTGCCAACTTTCTAATTACAGTCGATGCAGTTTCGGAAGTAGGATCAACCATTTCCAACATTTTCATAATGACTTTAACAGTTGATAGAACGACAGCAGCGTTTGCGTGTGCTAGTCTTGGAGATACGCGTTCGATGATACTTTGCGCCTCACGATCATCACTAGGTGTGTAATCTGCAATCGCATCAAGTATAAAAACTTGTCCCCACCTAGAGTATAAAAGGTAGTGAAAACAAGTGTTATAAAATCATGCTGAACTACCACATCTCATGTAATGGAAGTCTAAGTAAAATAATGATGTATTAAGCGAGTATCTTAGTCTTATTCACTAAATTTAAAGCTATATATATATCTAGGGACATATGTTTGTCCTACTAATTCCTATCGTCCTTAAAATATTTATTGGCTTAACGGATCACTTCAGGTTTACGTAATACTGCAAACCAAACCTATCATATGACACGAAGTCTTACCGATTTATCGGTGCAACACGCCACACTCAGCACTAGTAGTATCTAGAGGAAACAAATCAGAGGAGATACAAGGAAGTCAAAACAACAGTAATAAGAATGGCGGAAACTAAAGATAATAAAAAGGTAGAAAAAGTCAACGGATGTAAAGTACAGGATAATACCAACCAGTCTCCAAGATCTCCGTAAGTAGAATTATATTTTAACACATGAGCTAGGACGAAGGTCATAAAGAGGGCTTTCTTGAGATATTTGATTTGCTTATTTTATCTCACTTTCAGTTTCGCACCGAAATTAAGGAAGTGGCAATAAAGGGGAAGGTTTAAAAGAATTAGTATTATGCAATTTTTGTTCGTGTATAGTCAGTGCAAACATCAATTAATTATTGGGCCAATATGAAGTCAACAGCATTACTACCAGTTACCAGGTGAGTGAAATCGATCCATTTAGACACAATAATCGACCTCTGCCATGAGTTCGGTTAATAGTATCATTTGCTTATAGCGGAAGTTAATGTGAATTAATCTGACAAAATACATTATAATACAGACAAAGAACTATCAAAATAAACTGCTCACTCAGTGCATTCATTAAGAGCTGTCAGAAGTTTGTTAATTACTGGGCCATCGAAGGCAAGTAAGACCTTGCAGAATCAGAATTTGTCATCTCCAATATTTCAGTTATTGATGCGACAGCATTAGCGACTACCATGGGATTACTGTCACATAACAAATCCCTCAAAAGTTCTAAAAATCCACTATCTTCCACTAACTGAGCATCTATATCATGCAGCTTTGCTACACAAACAGCAGCTGTCTTGCGGACATATGGATCTTCGTCTTTAAGACATTTACGGAGTGGGTCACAGAGATAGGCAGTTATTTTCTCCACACGTATGCAGCCCATTGTTCGCACAGCAAGCGCCCTGATAAGTGGATTGGGATCATCGCAATCCTAAAAAAAATAAGTTCAGTTAGTAGAAACTTACTTTTACAAAAGTATTCACAGCCATTATTGCAGTATCAGGCTGTGTCTTGGCATAATTCATAAGATACAGGTATACTAGCTTCTTAAGTTCCAAATTATCAGTTTGCATACAGTTGATTACATCTGGAAACAAAGCACTTAAAGATGTATGATGCATATCCCAGGATCGAATACCTAACATCTTTACCTACAGTCATACTGGCTATGACCTTTTTAACAGCCTCCTTCTTTTTTTCTCTTCGCTCACTATTCAATTCGGCTTTCAGCTCAAAAATTTCACCTAATTTATGCTTGTATACTCAGTAAATTACCTTTTTTCGTTGTCGTGAAGTACCGAGCATCCGTAGGCTTTGATTGAGCTGTTACTTTCTGAAGCCATGGTCTAAATTTATGTACATGGAAAGTTGAAAGGTTACTTGATATTTCCAAGGGTATCAGTGACAGATGCAGCAACACCTTGCATATCTGAACTCTACAGACAATCGAAACTAATTTGAAAATACGACAGACTACTCAGTGTCTAATTCTTGTACTAATTTCATAGGTTTTTTATGCAACTAGCAAATGCTACCAAAATATTTTTTAGCTCTCAACTTTCTAAGCAAAGACGGCAAAATATGTCAAAAATGCATATTTACGATTTTAGTTCACTAGACTTTGTTTGAATACGCTCCAGAATATCATGAGAACCCTGGAATCACTACTTACAGTGACGTAAGAATAATCTCTTTGTCAATAGAACGATACTGTGAAAGCATCCAATGTGTAGAGACAAGGAGTTCCTATCACAGACTTAATTTTAATTAGTTCTACTGTGCGGTAGTTGTACAATATTGCTTTATTCAGCTGGAGTCTGTCCTGTGTCATCCTTCATATCTTCACGTCACCTGCAAATGATAGGGGTCGAGGGATAATTCAAGTTATTTATGAATGATAAAATTAGCATTTTTAAAAACTACATTCTGACGACCTCTGGTTAGTACTTAGATCGAGTCACAACGACTACTCTTTGCCACTTATGGGTTGGTGATGTGGTACAAATTTCGTCAGTGGTCATAACGTTTCACAGCACAATCGGATTCCTAATAACACTGCCTTTCAAAAACTATAGATGGTAATGCAGATTATCAGTCTAATACAGACATTTGGTTCTAAGATACAAATCATAAAAAGTCACGTTTTCTGGTAACTTCTTTCATGTTGATGAAAGTCTGACGTACTAAACGTTTTGTCATGTACTTGAAAATGAACTAATATTATGTCTAAGTATTGTTCTACACATGGATCTCTTCTATGGAAAGGAGTATGTCTGGACAATTTAAACGGTTCCATGGTGACAGAGGAATACGGAAATTTTTGAATCTCACTTTCACGTATATAAGTTCCATCACTAGATCTTAGGTGCCTTACGGGTTTTTCCATAGACCATATGCTCTGTAGATGAATCTAAGGTGATTTCATGGTTAATGAGGTATTTTTCACTCAGTTCATGTGGTATTTGTACGATGCTTCTTTACATTATTGTCCGCGATTACGAATTACAGACATAATACGTTCATTTGTGCTAACCTAGTTCTACTGTAGGGCCAGTGAAGTGTCATTGAGCCCTAGCCAAATAATCAGGCAGTTGGGTCACTGAATATCAAACAAATCATCAATCTTCGTCATGGTCAAAGGCAACCAATGCGCCTCAGTTATTCATACTCTTGGACTGGCATATGCGGCGGTGGTCTTACTTTCGCTTGTATCTACCTTAACTTATATGTTTCTGTAATAACGTCCTTTGTGTTGTACAGTCTTCAGAGCTTCTATAGCACCTTGATACGCTGGTGTGGTAATCCACGTAAGATGTTGACCGAGAGGTGTGTCTTCGAGGTTAGCTGATTCGTCACACCATTCCTGTCTAACTCTAGTAGGCCCTCAGTTATTCGACATAGATCATCTACGCTAGTGTCGCGATGGAGCCGGTTGGATATACATTCAAATTCTGAGGCTCTCGGAGATCACATGGATAGGTTTGAAATCTGAAGTATGACCAGGAGAAATGAAAAGGATGGTAAAGTTGTTGCTCACTTCCTTACACTCGTCGGGAAGGATGCCTACAACTTACTAAAATACTTGGCATTCCCAGATAAGCCTATTTCATTTTCCTATGCAAATCCGAAAGAGCTTCTGCTAAATCATGTAAAGCATACTAATTTCTAATGCCGTGGAAGGCGAAACCTCATAAAACGTTTCGTCAGGAGAGCCAAAAGGTTAGAGAGTGCATCCTTGAGTTGTAGAAACAAGACACCAAGTGTAATCATGTTGACCAACTTCACGTGCAGCCACGTGATCAATTAATTTCAAGAATTAACACACTACATCTGGCGAGGGAGATTATACAAATACCGAGGTGATCATTCCAAGATGCTAGAACTGAATTTATCACTTATGAAACAGTTCATGAAATCTAGTTCCATGGCATCAATAGTTTCACTACTTCACATAGTTATTCTAGTCCGATTCGTACTCAAGGTCATCCACGTAGGCGTTTAAGTGATGCTAATTCTCGTTTTCGTGAAAACATGGATGTCAATTAATGAGCAGTTGCAAAGCAGGTTACAAGGGTGGGCACATGTTTGGTAAATGCTTATGGTTCAAATGGTTCTGAACGGAATAGAAGAAGCTTTCGCTTAGCAGGCTTCCGTATCTAATGGCAGTAAAACACCGATACCTCCAGGTGGAGACCTAGGTATATTATGGATAAGAGCGGAAAAAGAAAAGTCGGTAAATGATAGTATGATACTGTCCTTAGTCCTTAAGAATATGTTAAGTTTTCTCTCAAAGAACTCCTAGTAAGTTGCTTAGACTAGCTCAACCGGCAGCGAATTCAAGCATTTGACTACTGGTAAGGAGTAAAAGGTTCATTCTGCTGTGTTATATCTCCAGTTTCTGGGTGTAGCTCTAGGGGTTTAGTTGGGACTATGCCTAAATAGGTGTTTAAGGAGATGTCCAGAAATGTTCAGAGTGCTGTAAGCCATTAAAAGGTCACATCTAAGACGCCTGTACTCTAATGAGTAAAGGTTCAGTGATTAGAGGCGCCTTTCGAATTGATTTCGCGGCTCAGAGCTGGACACGTGTTTGCTTATCATTTTGGGGTAAGGGGGAAAATACTACGTTTCCGTACTCTAAATTAAGACGAATAAAACTGTGGAAGATTGTGTGCAAAGTTCTCCCGTCGAAATGGCAAAGATATGCTTCAACGTTTCCAGTGCAAGATTCGCTCGGGAGGCATTTTGTCACAATTAACGCAAGACGTGAAATCATACGGTACCAACGCTTCCAGATGCTCTTCAACTTCAGATATCTCTGAGGAGGAGTTACCTAGGTTGTAATCTGTAACATGTTTCAGATGGACTACTTTTCACTTTGAAGTGTTAAGGGTAAGTCCGTCGCAATCTGCCCAACTTTGAACTCGAATCAGATCCTCCTGAAGTGCCCTTTTAACCTCTCGGTTGCTTACTTCTGTCCAAGGTTTCAGACCATTAGCTAAGAGTAATAAACATGACGGCACCTGCTGTGGAAGGTCGTTTATACAGATCAAGAAAAGATGTTTTAGTACTGACCTCTGGAGACCCTACCAGGATATTCCATAGTTAACCCTGACCTTAGAATGTCGACTTTTTAGATATGAAGTGAGCCAATCAATTAGAGGTGATTTGACACCTAGTCATTTGAGCTTATTGGCAAGACGTATATGGTTGAACCCATCAAATGTTTTTAGGAAGTCAAGGCAAATGACGTCAACCACCCCCTTGCGATCAAGGATGATTGTCCATCTGCCCACTGAAGTCAGCATGTTGGTTATACAAGAGGAACCTTTTCTGAAACCGTGCTGTTGGGGCTGAAAGAAGTTTATGGATAATGAGTAATCGTGCATATCAGGGACCCCATAACTTTTGAGGGTATAGAGATAAGTGCCACCTATCAGTAGCTTGAAGGTTCGCTGCGTCAACCTCCTTTGATAATTGGTATGGTGTGATCCAACTTCCAAATTTCCGGTAATATGCCTCGGCCTAGCGAATGTGAGAACATCACGCTGGTTAGTGCCGTCATGGTTGAAGCTTCTTCCATCAATATAACAGATGGACCATATCCGGGCCAGAAGAAGAGTCTTTTTTCAGTGCTGTAGTCTCTGGTACATTAAGTCAGCGCTCAGGTTCATTTAAGAAATTCTTGTGCAGTTGCATATAAAGCTTTTATAAATATAGTTAATGTGGGTCGGTCGGAATGTCCAAGAGTACTGACCGACCAAAAGGTTGTCGGCGTCACCGTCGTTGTTGGTTGAGCCATTAGGACCTAAATGTTGGGAAACTCCGATTTTGGCTTGTCGAAGAGAAGATGCATGACAGAACAAGCTTTTCGGATTTGAAAGAAATTATCGATGAGCTTCGTCTGGTAGAGAAGCCTGTCCTTTCTGATTGCCTTTGTGCTTATGTTCCTTACTTGCTTGAATCGCTTGTGTGGCTGTTGTTACCAGTTCGTTTGTATTCTGCCTAGAAGTGCCTTTTGCGGATTAGCAAGCAAAGGGTGTGATTCTTGATGACTGCAGGTTGCCTGTAGATTTCGCGAACCACTTGCGGAACAAACTGCCTTGTAGCACATAAGATCGTGTGCAGTAAGAAATCCACATCAAGTTGAGGGTGAACTTTCCAGTCCACCTGTTGTAGATAGTCCTGTAGAGATGATACCTTTATCCGTTTAAAACTCAAGTGCCTGTTGTCGGTGGGATTTATTAACTCAGTTTTACTGAATAAACTGAAGACTATGACGTCGTGATCGCTTCTCCACAGGGAAGCCAGGATTGAGAGGTTATCAATTAGGAAATCGTTATTTGTAAATATTCAGTCTAAGCGAAACGGTGTCTGACTGTTTCTCCAACGAGTTGCCGACTCACATTTTCGAATAATCGCAGATCTCCAATGAGGTTGAAAAACCGAGCTTCAGTAGAGTTTTCAACTCTAATGTACGTGTGTTCCGCGAAGTTGATTTTGGGAAGATTGAAATCCCTTAGAATCAGGATGTGAGTGAATCCGAGACGGGTAGAGCGGATAATCCTTTCCATTCAGGACCACCATTCTCAGGTTTGCTGACAACTTTTTCCGAAGACCTTCGAGAAAATGATTATGTTACTCAGCAAGTCCTCAGTATTCATGTTGCACGTGCCACATACTCACCTATCGTCCGACTTACCAAGTCTGCTGTAAGCAGTTACTGTAACATATGTGCACGCTTTGTGGAATCAACCTTTGGATTTGTTATACCGCATGCCATAGATGGCAGCAAAACGGCATGCTGGCCTCTTACGTGATTTCTTCATGACTATGATGATGTTAGTTGTTTAACTGATTCTAGCAAAAGTCTATAACCGTAAAGCAAAAAGCAATACGCTAAAATCGAATAAAATGAATAGAAACAGGT